CTGATTCTGTCCTGTGATGTCATACAGTGTTGCCTAGGTGATCAGGCTGAATGGGAAACTCTGTACTTTCCCAGGACTGGGCAGAGCAAGGATCACCCCACTTCAACCTCCTGAGGGTGCCAGGAATCAATTTCCTAACTTTCTGCTTAGCTGGCCATGGCCCAAATACCCCCAAGCACCTCCACCCACAAAATCTCTCACTTCTGAGAGATACCCAGATTGCATACACCCACTCATATTTCCCCTACCCAGTCCAGACCCCAAAGTCAGTGTATGGCACCCATGGGACCACGCTGACAGACAGAGACTCAAGGCACCTGGGTCAGCTGCCAAGCATGGTGCTGATGCTAACTCCCAAGACCATTAAGTGAGCGCTCCTGCCCCCAAGAGGATGGGACGGCAAAAGACAAAGGTGAGGCTGGACCAGCAGCTGTCACAGCTGGGTGAGCTTGTCCTTGTTCTCCCATGGTGACAAAGGTGCTCCTTCTCTGGGCTTCAGTCACTGCTGTAAAGAGCTGTGGTTTAGATATCCTGTTCTCTGAGGCTCTCAGAGATGAAACGCAGTGTTCTCAAAGGTGGTTGCTACCTCGGCATGCTCTTGCCTGCGAGCCTGCTAATGTTGCCCACTGGCCACCATACAATCCTTGGTTGTATGGCTCTCTCTTCTCTTGCCTCATCCTTGCCTTTATCTTGAACACAGATCTGGACTTTCTGCAAAGAAGGGATGGAGGGGCAGCCTGCTTTGATCACTGATGTATCCCCTGCACTCGGATAGTGCACAGGACAGAGAAGTGCTCGATGAAGATTTGTGGAAGAAAACAAGAACCTATGGGGATGGGACCAGAGCCCTGAAACGCTCCTTGTATTTTGAGTCAGGGTCTCTCACTGAACCTGGAGCTCACTGATTGGCTAAACGGGCTGGCCAATGAGCTCCGGAGAAATAGGATGCTTTTCTATAGCCCCAACCCTATCAGTGCTGGGATCATGGAGTCAGGCTGCCACGTGCCCAGCTTTTATGTGGGTGCTGGGATCTGAATTCTGCTCCTCGTGTTTTTTTCAGGTTTTGTTGATTATTACCATGTATCTGGTGCTCAGACGAATGCCTGCCATGTAGTGGGTGCTCAATGAGGTTGTGCTAGCGGACCCTTCACCCCCCAGCCATGCCAAGCCAGCTCCCTCATTCTACTTCTTTTCCCATTGCTCAGCTCATCACTTTTTTAAAAACTGGAGTAATATTTCTAAATTTCAGTGCTCTTTGATTGTTAGAAATATTGTTTTATTATGCAGCTTTCTCTCCATCTTTTTTTTCTTTTCCTTTGCTTTCTGGTACATGGCCTCACTATGTGGTCATAGCTGGCCCCAAACTCAATATGCAGACCAGGGAAGCCTTCAGATTTGTGGTGATTCTCCTTCCTCTGCTTCCTAAGGGACAAATAGCATCCCAGGCATGAGTCACCAAGCCTGGTTATAATCAATACTGTAAGGCCTCCCTCCCCATGATTGAATGCAAGGGCCTGGTGCATGCCAGGCAGGCTCTCTACCTGCAAGCTCTCTCCCCAGCCTGCATTTTTAAAAACTGTACTCAAACCTATAAATTATCTTTCTTATGAGTTCTGACTTTTAACATATTTTTTTGTGTCTGTGGTGCTGATGATCCAGCCTGGGGCCTTGGAAATGCTCTGTATGTGCTCTCCCACTGAGTTGCTCCGCCGCCTTAGGTCAGAGTGTGAAAACTGCACCACCGCCCTGGGTCATAGTGCGAAAAAGGCGCTTCTGCGTCAGACACTGCGACTTCTTCCTGTCTCCAGTCAATCCCTAGGGCTGCAAGCCCTAGGGGCAGGCATAGTAACCCAGAAAAGGAGCCTGCATGAAGAAGCATGAAAAGAGGGGAGAGGTCTCATATCCTGAGTCCTTTTCCTTAGTAGAAAGGGGCCTTACCAGCTATCCCAGTGCCCGGGCAAGGTTGGTCATCAAAGCTAGAAGGATTGTGAAGTTCTGGTTTTCGTGTTGTTGCTGCTGCTGTTGCTGCTGCTGGCAGTGGTGGTGGTGACTGGGTGGTATGTGTGAGTGTGTGTGTGTGTGTGTGTGTGTGTGTGTGTGTGTGTGCAGAGTTCAGAGGATAACTTTTAGAAACTGGTGTTCTCCTACCATGTTCTAAAGCAAGAGCGCTCTTGTCGTTTCTGCCCATCCTACATGCCAGGGTAGTGACCTGTGGGTTTCTGGGCAGTTTTCTTGTCTCCATCTTGTCTTAGCAGTGCCAAGATTACAGACGCATGACACCTCATCTGACTTTGTGTGTGGGTCACAGGGATCTGACTCACATTGTCAGGCTTATGCTGCAGGAGTTTCTGCCCGCTGAGCCATCTCACTGGCCTGAGAGACCATTTTTTTTAAAGCCCAACATCAACCAGAGCCTAATAATTTGCCCAAATGGCATATCAGAGTCCCAAGACCCTCTCAGTTCAGCGTCGCTCTTGAGGGACAGCTTCTTCAGCTGGGGTGCTTTCAGATATGGACCCTTCTGGGAGAGAGAGATGGGCTTCTTAGCGTTCCATGTCTCTCCAGGTTGCTGGAAGAGCAGACAGGCTGGAGTGAGTCTGTCTCTTCCCTCTTCCTGGCAGGGCTGCCTGAAGCCTGACTTGTCAGCTGCTGGGTCCATCGCCCCCTCACACCCCACTCCTTCCTCAGACCTCCAATAGTGTCCCAAAGCAATGAGCCTTCTGGGATTCTCAAGGACATCTGCTGACTATTGTTGGTTTGTGGAGGACAAGTTTGTTTGCAAGGATGGACAAGACGTTGGGGTTAGCAGCTTGCAAGCCTGCCCAGGGCCCGAGCCCTAAGGGGTGGCCAAGGGAACTCTGCTTGGAAACTGGCAGGCTTTGTGCTTACCACCAGCCCATTGTCTGTGGTCTGTGAGACTGTAGTCTGCCGATTTCTGTATCTTAACAGCGCTGCATGGGTGAGTGAGAATGGGGCCTGAGAGGCTGTGATGAGCATGGAGTTCTGCTCTCGTGGAGAAAGATTCTCTGCCCAGGGTGAGCATCTTAACCCACAATTCCTCCTCACCATATAACCATATATATGACCTATATTAGATTATAATATATATGTATATATGGTTATATTAGGTTATAATATATATATAGTTATATTCCTCCACAAATTCTTCAGTGTAACCAGGGCAGAGAAAGGCAGATCACATTGGTCCTGATGCAAGGACAGGACACCATAAGGTAGGAAAGAGGCAAAGGGAAGGGGGCAGTCCAGGCTCATCACGCCTCTGCCCCCTACAGGCCATACCTTGGGCCCAGCCTCCCAGGCCCTAGGCCCAGCATCGTCATGGGCTGCATGCCTTCAGGCCTCATCAGGAGGTGCCTGCTTAGCAGCTGGCCTCAAGCACACACATGGAGCACACACATGAAGCACACACGTGAAGCACAGAACACAGGAAAGCAAATGGGCTGGGTGACCGCACTGTGGCCGGGCACACAGTGAGAACAGTGTGCTAGAAGGAAGTCCTCTGACTTCGGGGAGGCCCTGGTCTGTGAATGCTCCACCTAGCCGGGCTCCCCTCCCTTACACCTACCCTTACCATGCGGGAGGGGGGCGGGTACCTCCCCTCCACCCTCCCTTACTATGCAGAGGGATGGGTAACTTTCATCAACACCTCTGCAGATGGTGACAGGCCCTGCTGGGTCCTGTTGGGGGAGGGAGGGAGTTCAGTCCTCAGTCATAGGCAGAGGAGGAGTCTGCAGAACTGGGGTGTCTAAGGCTGGGAAGCCCTGTTCTCACCTCCTAATGAGACAACTTGTTAGGCAGGGACTGCAGCCTGCAGCAAGAGAGGGACGTGGCAGGGGATGTGGGCTTGGAGTCTTCTGGAAAGAGCCGCCCAGGCAAAGGGAATACCAGGACAAAGGCTGCGGTGCGGGGGTCAACTGGGGATGAATAAGGGAGTTGTGGCTCCTGTTGGGGTCACCCATGCAGTGCCAAGGCCCTGAAAATCGAGTTAAGCAGCCTTCACAAATGTTCCCAAGGCTAAACCATGCTGTTTCCTTTTCCCGTGCTAGGAGGCAGGAGGTTTCTGTCGGGCCCCAGCCCTCATTGTCCCATAGGATGTACATGAGATGCTAGGACCTGAGGAGCAGGTGGCATTGAGGAGTTACAGACAGAGGTACCCGCAGAAGCTTAAGGGAGACTGTGCCTGCAACAGGGGCATACCAAAGGCTAGGGAAGAAGCGCAAGAGAGACCCCAAAGGATAGACAGTGTATGAGGCAGAGGTAGGGAGGAAAATGGCTTCATGGGCTACTCTTCTGTGGTTCAGGAAGCAGGGTAATGCTACAGAGGGGAGAAGGTACTAGAAGGAATAGACAGTCATACCTATCCAGCCTCCAGACTACAACCTATATCCAGCCTCTTGCAGCCAAGAGTCTTGGTGAACACAGCTCAACACAAAATCATAGCATAGACTTACTTAAAACCTAAAACTTGTATTTTTTCAATTTTATTATTTGTATTTTATCGTGTGTGTGTGTGTGTGTATGTGTGTGTGTGTGTGTGTGACAGCAGGTGCATGTGGAGATCAGAAGGAAACCATTGTCGAGTCAGTTTTCTCTTCCCCAGGGGTTTCTGGACTCCGCCATGGGTCATCGGGCTAACACAGCAAAGGGTGAACCAACTGATGCACTTGTTCTTTGGCAACAAGGTCTCATGTAACCCAGGCTAGCCTCAAACTAAAGTAGCTAAAGATGCCCCTGAACTTTTGATCCTTTTGGTCCTCCTGCCTCTACCTCTTGAGGACTGGGAATATACATGTGTACCACCATCGGCAGGTTTTATAAAATTTCTTCCTGATGTTTTGTTTGTTTTATAATTAAATGCATGGTTGGTTCCTTAGCCAAAATTATAATGTCAAAAGCTTCCAAATGCTTGGTAGAGGTTATGGGTGATGGTAGGGAGTTTTCCGTCAGATGAGTGTGCTTAGCCCTGGCTCTCCCTACAGGTTCCTGGAGAACCAGTGGAACCCCTGGATACCTCTCCGGACCTAGATCCTGACACCAGCTACTTGGCTCCCTGTAATAAGGAGACTGTTGTGGTCACTCTGCATGGAGCTACTGACCTTCCTGCCAGCAAGGACGGCTCTGATCCAAGGCCCTATGTGATGGTGTAAGTTGCTACGGAAGCAGGGTTAGAGGTGAGGTTGGGTCTGGAAACAGAAACCAGCTGATGAATGTCTGGAAGCTGAACTCCTGAAGGGACTGTGGTACCCAGAGGTATCATACTAAGGCTGTACAAATGAGAAGCCTGTCCTGTTCCCTGCTGTGTGGTAATTGCTGTCAGGACTGAGCAGGGCCTGACCTCCCCAGGGCAAGGTCCATGTCTGTGGTGCCTATGCTGGGCTCAGTGTGGGACGTGGATGGTCAGGGGACCCGCTATAAGCACAGATCTGAGTTCTAGGACATCTGAAGTTTGTCTTAAGGAAAAAGAAAAAAGAACAAGGGCACATACAATAGAAACAGCACTCCTAAGAATGGGAATGTGTTCGAGAGCTGGAAAGGCAATCATGGAAAAACTCAGCATGGACTTGTTATCTTCTACTGGTCATTTACATCCCATCATGTATGGAACAGGCTTTTTTTTTTTTTTTTTTTTTTTTTTTTTTTTTTTTTTTTTTTTTTTTTTTTTTTTTTTTTTTTTGGAGTCCTGTGTGTTACATGAAGCCTGGGTAGGGAATGGCTTCCAGTGTTTCTTTACCAATGGGCTCTCTGGCGGCTTCAGTCTTTATGCAGCTTTCTGAAGTCCATCCTTACTCTCCTGCCACAGAAAGACTTGGGGTCTGCCTCTCCTGGCTTTTGGGGATCCCAAGAGGTTATACTGCTTGCAGGCACCTCTGTGGGCCCTTGCCCATTTCTGCCATGGGACTTCTCGTTCTTTAATGAATCTCTCTCTCTCTCTCTCCATTGTTGTTTAGCCTGGTGACCAGGGCCTGCTATGCCATGTCTGCTGCCCACCTCAGGAGCCTCATTTCTCCTCAAAGAGCATATGAGGCAACACCATAGCCAGCCAGCTTTCCCTCTGGAGGGGCATTACTACTATGCTAGAATGGGGGCTTTCTGGCTTCTGCAATCTCCCACAGTTCTACCTGACACCTCCCTGCCTGCACCTCTGTCTTAGTCCCTGCCTGCACCCCTGCCTGCACCCCTGCCTGCACCAGGCACTTCCCACCCACTGCTCAGTCCCTTTGGAGAATGCCTGCCCCAGCCCTCCTGCACACAACACTGATTCTTCACCTTCAAAGCATTCTTCCTGCCTCCTCCTCCAGGCAGTCAGATCTACCAGGGTAGATCCCCTAGCAACGGCAACACACGTGTGTCTCTAGTCTGTCCCCAGAACAGAGGCTTCTTGCAGATCTCAGGTCTTATTCTCCATTTCTCCAGCCGTGCACCCAACATGGTCACAGACTAATGGACCTAGGATGCAAAACTTGACTAAGATGACAAGCAGCCCTTCTCCCACCCCCTCTCCCACGAGAGGCTGTGCTGAAGAACAACAGGTGAAGAAGCTCTTGCCTGGTTGGCCCAGAAAAACCCCACTAGCCCCAGCCCAGCTTTTTGCCCTCCCCTCCCCCAACTCCATTTCTTAAGCAGGGAAGGGACAGGTGGCGGAAAGCTGCTTGGCGGGAGGTTGGTTTCTATTGAGAAATGTCCCTCAGCTTCTCAGCTATTTCCATAAACCAATTATCACTGATCATCTCAGGAGATTGAGGCCCTGCTTGTCACCAATCCAGCCGGGCTGTGAAGGGGAGGGTAGCTGGATGGCTGTGTTGCTCCAAGACCCTTGCCCCATCACCCTGTTGCCATAGGAACATGCAAGGGAGGGGAGTCTAGGGGACATGAGCCTGGATAGGAGTGTGAAGCGCTGAGAACATCCTGGTTCCTCTGACCCACCAGCACAGCATGCAGTGTAAAAAGTGGGAGGCATGCATCCCTGCTTCCTTTTTCATGACGGGAGCAGGGTCTGTGCCAGGCTCCAGCCTGGTCCCAGAGCTCCAGGCTGAGCTGCCAGCAGCTCCGAGTGGTGCTAATGAGATGCAAATGAAAAGAAGAAGGGAGGGCTTCTGGGAATGAAGGCCCAGCTGCCAGGACCTAGAGCTGGCTTTCAGTGCTAACCCCCAGCCCCAGGTAGGACTCCCACAGGGAGGAACAAGAACTCCCAGGTCTCTAGAGTTGGGCCCTAGACCCCAGGAAGAGTTTGTCGTCTTCCCAGAAATGATTACAATATAGAACAACAAAGTATGCAATAAGAAAGTCCACTAAAATCTTTTCTCATATGGATATTTCAATGTGTGTGTTTTTTTAATTATAAACATTTGAATGTAAAATCTGAAACTGTTAAGATCTACAAGTAAACAGCTTCCCCTAGGATCCTTACATTGGTCTTGGCAATGATTTTTTTTTAATTTGACATCAAAAGTATAAGCAATGAAAGCAAAATAAACAAGTGGGTGACAAGAAGTTTAAAGGCTCCGTGCAGCAAAGCAAAACCTCCACTGACTTGAAGAAACAGAATGGGCTAAAACACGTGCACACCACACATCTAACAAGGAGCCAACCCCCAGAGCGTATGGAGAGCTACACCCTCCAGTACCAGAAAAACCAACTGGATTTTGAAAAAGGGCCCTGATAAGGCAGCACACACTTTTGATCCCAGATACAAAGAGGCAGAGGCCAGTAGATCTCAGGAAGTTCAGGACAGCCTGGTCTATAAAATGAGCTCCAGAGCAGCCAGGGACACAAAATGAGGCCCCGTCTCAAAACAACAACAACAAGGAAAACCAAAGCAATAAGAGGCAGAGGAGCCTAGAAGTATAGCTCCAAGATAGAGTGCTTGCCTAACATATACCACACCCTGTGTTTGATCCCCGGCCAAACCTAGCTTGTCAGCACTTGGCCACTGGGGAAGATCAGAAGTTCAAGGCTATTATCCTTGGCTCTGCAGTGAACTCAAAACTAGCCCACACTGCACAAGACTCTCTTAAATAAGCGCAGATAACTCGGTGACAGGTGACAGGAAAAGGTGTCCAGCATTGCTTATCACCTAAGATGTCCAAGTCAGGACCTGAAGGCCATCCCACCCATACCCGTTAAGTGGGTTGTTATCAGAAAGACAAGAAGTAGCCAAAACAGGGGCACTTGGGATGACTCAGAAGGTAAAAGTGTTTGTCACCAAGTGTGACAATTGGAGTTCAACCCTGGAACCCACATATAAGAGAGAACTGATTCCCACAAGTTATTCTCTGACCATACAGACACCATGGCCCATGTGCCACTCCACACCATGAACACTCAGATAAACAAAATTAATGGTTAATTAATTAAATGCAATAAAATTGCAAATATTGGTGAGAATGTGGAAGAAAGGAAATCGCTCTACACTATGGCTAGAAATGCAGATTCATACAGTGGAAAACACCATGGATGCTCCTCAGACATTAAAAATAGGATTAGTGTAGATCAATCCCACCTCTGTATACATATCCAAAGGAAATGAAGTCAGTAGCGTGAAGCAATGTCTGCATCCCTGTATTATAGCATCATCACATGAAGAGATGGAATAAACTTAAACATCTGCCCATCAATGAATGGGGAAATTACATGCACACACATTCACACATACACACATATGCACATACATACACGTGTCATGTGTAACTTCCTCTAACACGGAAGGCATAATGTTAAGTTAAAGAAGCCAGATGTATAAAGAGAAATACCACATTATTTCTTTTAATGTGGAATCTTGTTGAATTCGCAAAACAGAGAGTAGAAGGATGGTGCCAGGATCTAGGGAGGGGGAAAATAGGGAGATGTCAGAGAGTCCAAACATCTACCTACAAGGTGAATACATTTGGGGATCTACTCTACAGTACGGCAACTGTAGTTAATATTGCGTTGTAGACTTTAATGTGGTGAGTTTTTGGCACACCCACCACATACACACAAAAGGATAACTGTGAAGGGGTAGGTGTGTTAGCTTGATTGCATGGTATCGTTCATAGTAGGTAAGTATGTCAAATCCTTCTATATATTTCTAAAATATATTCTTTTTACTTTCCAATGATACCCCAATTAGGTCAGGATATATATATATATTTCTTACTCCATATATAACTTCTTACTACAAGCATTTTTACTTTGCTTTCTGATGTCCTGTGTCTAGTCATCCAGCTTGGCTTACTGAGTTCTGCCTATCCATGTTGGCCCACCTCAGGTCAGGGTGGGGACTCTGGGTCCTTATCTGAGATTTCTTCTATCTTCTTTGGCTTTATTGCTCTTCCAGTAAGCAGATTTATAGTTGAGGTACTGGGTAGAACACGAACCTCAAGCTGCTCACTCATCTGCTTCAGTAGTGGGAGCTGCCAAGGGTTCAGGTCACTTTACCCCTCTGTAGACATTAGCCCCAGCCAGTCCAGTTACCACAGCTATCTAGCCAACTAGGTTCAGTGGCTTATTTTTTGGTTCTGCAAGTCTCTATTCAAGCCACCTTCCAATCCCACCCCATGGCAACAATTCTCTCTTTAGTTCCTTGTGGGCACAGTACCTCAACTACATCCAAGGGACATCTCATCTGTACGGTCCCCCAGTAACTCTAGTGATACATGATTAATATTGGGGTTCAACCTGAATATCTACAAAGCAAAACAGACAGCCACTGACTCTTACTTCAACCTCAGTCAGAAATAGAGATCCTGCCTCCAGGAATCTCAGAATGAGACTATGTCTGAGAGCTGTCTCCTCCTGTTTTATAATCATCTCTAGTTCTGGGATTAAAGGTGTGCACCCCTGGGATTAAAGGGATGTACCGCCTGGTTTCTATGGCAACTAGTGTGGCTACTGGGATTAAAGGTGTGTTACCACTGCCTGGTCTGCAAGGCTGACCAATGAGGCTGTTTTACTCTCTGATCTTCAGACCAACTTTATTAAAATACAAATGAAATGCCACTACACACTAGTCCCTGGTGACCACTCACTGTCCTTCGAGCCCTTTCTTCTCTTGGCTCTTAGATACCTTACTCACACTTCCTCTGTGGCCTTGCTCCACCTGCCTACTGCACAGCATTAAGTGTTGGCCCACCTTGTTTCCTCCAAGGCTACACATTTCTGATAATCTCCATGCCGTCTCGTGCCCGTCCTGACATCAAGAATCCCATCCTGGCCCATCCAGTCTATCTATGTCCTAGAGCACCAAAGCCCCCTCCCCTCATCTCTTGAATTTGGTCATGTCTCTCCACCACCCAACAGGCCACTATGCTTTCTCACCTGTTCTAGGTACATCTAATCTTGCTCATTTGCCAAGTTCCTTCTAAGGGAGGTTTCCCTTTGCTGTTGTGGCATCAGATTACCAAAAGTGACCCCATGGCTCCTTACTGTTCCCAGACGAAGAGAACTCCAGGCCCAGTATGGCTGAGTCTTCACTAGTTGGCTCTTTCAGGTTCCCAGCAGCAGGACTCCCCTTTTCTATCTTTGCCCCAGCCATAATAGGCATCCTCCAGTCCTTACCTGTTCCCTCACACCCCAAGCCTTTGTATTCCTCTTCCAACCTCACCTCCAAAAAGAGACCCCTGATCTCCCAGGCCAGCTTTTTCCCCATTGCCTACCTCCGCAGTACTATAGACTTCCACGGTGATACAGCTCTGCCTTCCTATGAGACCCCTGATCTCCTAGGCCAGCTTTTCCCCATTGCCTACCTCCGCAGTACTATAAACTTCCACGGTGATACAGCTCTGGCTTCGTATCATTAGTTACTTTCTGTTCATCAGGTCTTACTGATTCTAAGAGCAACCACCAGGGTATTAGGTCTCTTTTGCTCACTGTTCTTTCCCCATTACAAAACCCATGTGATGTAGGAAGCTGGAAGCTAGTAATTGCTGTATGTGTATATGTATGTATGTATGTATGTATGTGTCTGTATGTAACACTGTTCTCACTTGCTGTGTGACTTTGGGAAAGTTACTTCACATCTTCATGCCCGAATGCCTCATGTGGGAGTGTCTGAAGAGTCCTGAGGATGGTAGAACCAGGGCGATGCTGGCAGGTCCAGCGCAAAATACAGGGTAAGGACTCCTCAGCTAGCTCACTCACGCTGGGCACATGAAACCCACCATACAAAAGGTTCAGGGTAGTAGAAAGAAATCAAACTGGGGTCAGAAAGACCCAGAGTCTGGCCCACTGCCCCTGCCTTTTAGTCCTTGGTCTTCAAAGTCTCGGTCTTTCCATGGACCAGGATATGAATGCTGGCCTCCATGTTGGTACAGGCCTAGTAGGCTGGCTTTCTCTCTTGCCTGGGAAACTGTCTGTTCTTTAGAACCCTCACTGTATTGCACAAGGCAGACTCCACACCCAGGTCTGCTGGACCAGTGCCAGGCCCCAGGTCTCCCCTAACTTGTCCAGTACCTATCTCCCAGCCTGGCACAGACAGACCTGTCAGTCACAGTCCAGCATGGACCGGGAAGGCAATGGACCTGACAGGTGGGGTACCCCAATGGGCCGTATCAGGGAGCACCAGGAGATGGCCTGTGAGTTCTGACTCCTGGCCAAGGGCTGGGGAAGGACTGCCAGTGCTGGCAGCTGCTGCCTTGGCTGCCTGCTGCCCTGAGCTAATGAGTGGGGCAGAGCCAGCCTGGGAGGTCCAGGCCTGGCCTCGCTGAGCTGAGCTGAGGGTGAGAAACAGGTCAGGGTTAGTCAGTTAGTCATAGGCAGGCGTGAGGCCCGACCCTGGTCCACACTGAGCCTGATCTTGGTCACAGATGGTCCCGACCCTTGTGACTACTTGGAAAGGACATTGGAAGTAGACAGTAGAGGTCCCAGCAAGCAGAGAGTTAAGAACTGCATGTTTAAGATGAATGCACCCAGAGAGTGTGTAGTTTTCAGGCCTCATCTTACAGTTCAGGGTGTTTCTAGGATCCTTGTGGTCTCACAGTAGATGGGAGACCCAGCCTGTGCTCTGAACCTACCTGCCCTGCATTGGCCAATAAGTCACAGAGGGCAAGAATCTGAGCAGAGAAGTTAGAAGTCCAGGATGACTCATAGGTGACCTCTGCCTCGGCTACTCTAGAGTTGAACTTAGCAAAACTAACACTAATAGTGACCATACTTGAGGGAGAGTCCCAGGAAGAAAGCAGACCTCATGAGTAACTTTGTTCTATTTTAAACACACCAACGATCCAGTTCCCTATACATTCCTAACCACAGGGCCCTGGGGGGGAGGGGGAAGTGACATTGTCCCTTCAAAGTAGCCAAGAAGGCTGAAGCCCTGAACAGTGAGGGACTGGGCTGAGGAGACAATCAGGCTGTAGAGTGGAGCAGACAAAGGTACCAATTCCCATCTGACCTCTGACTCTAGAAGAGATCAAGGCTCCTTGTCTCCCAGAAGGAGGCCCTGGGGAGAGAGACAAGGCTGGGGAGTAGATCCTGGGTGGGCCCTGGGACTCCATCATCCTGCAAGGCCCCAGCCCTGTAGCTTACTTAATTTCCTGCCCACACCTGCTCTCCATATGGTTTCACTTCCGAAACTCACAGCCTCCAAATTTTTGTTCTGTAAGAACCTCCCTATGTCCCAGGGCTGTAAACACAGCTGGTAGCAGTGGATAAAGTAGGGCTGGCCTGGGACACCCCACCCCAGCCAGACTGTAGTTAGGAGCATTCTTTCCAGATGTTCCCCCACCGGCCCAGCACAAGGCCCCTGAGGTCTCCTTCTGCACTGAACATTCATTCAGCCCCTGACAGTAGGACTCTCTCCAGGACACCAGACTCCTGAGAATCAGCCTGGAGGGCAATGCTGCCCAACAGAAGCAAGCATGCTTGAGGAAAGGGCAAGGAGCAGGGCAGGGAGAGCTCTTTCTGGAGTCCATGGGTCACGGATGCCTAGGCTCCACAGCTTCTTACTGAGCATGTGCTGAATGCCTACCGGGCTACTCCCTCCCCAGACACCGTAGACAGCTGGGAGTTTGGGCTTCCCTCTTAACTTTGTTAAGAGCTCCACCTGTCCTTGCCTCTTCCCTGTGTGTGACACTCTCCACCCAGCCACACAGCTTCCCTCAGAAGGGGCTTCACTAACAATTCCAAAGTCCACCCCTTCAGGGCCAGACCTGTGACATAATCCTGAGGTCATTGCTGTGTGATGTCATATTGTGTAGCAGAGCCTGGCAAAGCCAAGGGCCCTGGCTCCCTCAGAGCACACCCCCACCGGAACAACCGCCTACTGATTTCTGATTTGGGGAAACTGGGGTTTGTCTCCACTGTGTTGAAATCTAGATTTCTGTGTGAAACCCAGAGTTTGCAATGCAGGCCAAACTTGGTCAGCTAGAATCTACAGCGGTCCCTTTAGATTCCCCTGATGTGGGAGTGATTTCTTATTAATAAAGAAACTGCCTTGGCCCATTTTATTGGATAGAAAATTAGGTAGGCGGAGTAGACAGAGGAGAATGCTGGGAAAAAGAAGCTGTGTGAGGAGTCGCCATGGTTCTCCCGTTCCAGACAGACGCAGGTTAAGATCCTCCCTGGTAAGCCAGCTCGTGGGCTACACAGAATATTAGAAATGGGTTAGAACAATATGTAAGAGCTAGCCATAAGGAACTGGAACTATCCGGGCCAGGCAGTGTTTGAAAGAATACAGTTTCCGTGTAATTATTTCTGGGTATAAGCTAGCCATGCGGGCGGCCGGGTGCCGGGGACGCAGCCCTGCCGCTCCTATTTCAACAGATGGCGCCCAGACGTGATGGGCTAAATCCACTTAAAAACCTGAGAAGGCTTAAAAATAAGGGAGAGAGAGTTTAACACAGATTTTTGCTGTTTTGTTGGTGGCGTGCTGTAGAGAGATTCCTGATTCAGCAACAACAGCAGAAAAATAAGCTACATCATTTTAAAGCGCGGCTTCCTGGGGGCTGTGCTGCCAGCATGAACTCTGGCTTTAAAGCATTTCAAGGCTTTTATGGGACTGGATGTTTGTGTTCCGCTTGGGATCGGAGGAGAGTGCTCTGAGACCGTGCAGATGGCTCAGAGCTCCCCGCCTGCACCTGGGCAGAAGGCAGAATCAAGCTTAGGCAGGCGGAAGAGCATGGCGGATTCCTGCCGCTATACAGAGACGCATTTTCAGACTGCGCAGTGCTCTGCATGTCAGATTTGGCTGTAACTTGGATGAAAAGAGTTTCTGTGCTGCACACTCAGTCTCAGAGTTAAACTGCTGAGTGCGGCTCCAATGTGGACTTGCTGTGTGCCTGAAACTGTGAATGGTTCAGGGGCACCAAATGACTCTGAGGCAGGAGCGGCTGCTCCATGCTGAACTGTGCTGATCTCAGGCAGGAACTACCGTAATTACCTTAAAACCGTGCAGTTAAGGTTTAGACTGGGCAGGACACAGGCAGTACCGTATTACCTGTAAATGGTGCAACTTAAGTTTTTAAGAAATGCTTAACATTTTAAGAAATGCTCCTGTATAGTAAAGAAATTACAGATTCACAATAAAACAGATTCAGACACTGTTGGATAAATGTACGTAGGCTTGGGAAAGAGAAGAAAAAGAATATAAAGAATAAAGTTAATGTCTTAAAAAGAAAAAGGGTAAAGTCTTTAAAGAGACAGAGTACAGAAGTACAGAGAGTTATAGATTAAAAGAAATAAAGAAAAATAAGCCACGTAAAAATGGAAAATTCACAGAGAGTCTGGATTATGTACATTGTGTTTTCTTTAAAATTTTTGACTGTGAAGGAGCTAAGTACAGAGAGACATTTCGTTACATGGGCTGCCAAGCTAAACCAAAATGGATATAAGGGTATTACGATTTCAAAATTTGGGTCTAAGGATATGATGCTTTGGAGAGGGTCTTCTTTTGTTTTTGCAGAGGATGAGACCCTGTGGATTGCATCTATTCCGATTTGGTATGATAGACCACGCCCTCCTGAAAGGTTGCTGTGAACACCCTCAAAAAATTGCTTCGCTCAATTGCCAACTGAGATGAAACTAGCACACAGGTTATATCATGAACAACCTAATTAACGACGCCCCTATTCAGCAGGAAGCAGTTTGTAGAGAAAAAACTACGCCCATGTTCCCAAATATTGTTTATAAATGTTCTTTTACATTTAAAGGGGGATATGATATAGATATGAATAATTTGCATTGGTATGGATTTTAAGGTCAATTTTGTTATATGTATATGTATTTTTGATCTTGATTAAGGTATTGTGATTGTGTAGTTCATTTAAAAATGTAATGTATAATTAGGAAATATAGGTTGTTAATGGATAATCATCGCTAATACTTAAGCTTGTAGTCATGTTAGTTAGATTTTCTAGATATATAGAGAGATATTTTAGTTAGATAGGCATTCTTCATATCTTTCAAAGGCTGCAGAATATGGCATTTAAGATATTTTAATAACTTAGGGTTTTTCATGACAATGAGACACATTTGCTCCTGGCAGCACCAATCTATTTCAAGAGGAAGATGGGCATCGAAGAGAATCCTTATGGAGTTTGATAGCCATTTGGGCAAGAAACTGCTCTTGCCTGGACTGTTGCATAAACTGGACACAGAGAACCCGCAGAGAGAGGACTGCTGAACTTGCCTAAAGGTGAGATGACCTTTTGGGGTTCCTGCTTCATGAAAGAGTCTGTGAGACATTCTGCAGGACACAGCAAAAAGTGACTGAACTGTCTTTGGAATTTCTTGCTTGATGAGAATGTCTGCTGGATACTATGGGCCTGTAGGCCGAAGATGGATGCCCCAACGGTACAGAGGAACTTTGGGTGACTGTCCAGGCAGCGAGATGTCTCTGTCATTTCTAGAGTTTTCTTATTTCTTGTTTGATAGGTAATATTATATCCTTCTGGAGTCTTTGATGGAGTTGAAGAATGGTTAGTTATAGTTTTCCTTAGTTATGATAAGAGATAAAATAGATATAAATATTGTAACTGTAATTCTTACTTGATAACTGTTTTGTTATATGTAATTTTACTATGTTAAAGTTAAAGCCTTTCTTTTTTGTTTAAACAGAAAAAGGGGAAATGATGTGGGAGTGATTTCTTATTAATAAAGAAACTGCCTTGGCCCATTTTATTGGATAGAAAATTAGGTAGGCGGAGTAGACAGAGGAGAATGCTGGGAAAAAGAAGCTGTGTGAGGAGTCGCCATGGTTCTCCCGCTCCAGACAGACGCAGGTTAAGATCCTCCCTGGTAAGCCAGCTCGTGGGCTACACAGAATATTAGAAATGGGTTAGAACAATATGTAAGAGCTAGCCAATAAGAAACTGGACCTAGCCGGCCAGGCAGTGTTTGAAAGAATACAGTTTCCGTGTAATTATTTCTGGGTATAAACTAGCCATGTGGGCGGCCGGGTGCCGGGGACGCAGCCCTGCCTCTCCTATTTCAACATTCCCCCACCCCCACACGCACACATCTCAGACTTAATGCCACATCCAGCTTTGTGGGCTGGTGGTCTCCTGCCAGGAGAGTGACTTCCCCTGGCACTGTCCCTTGTGGGAGCGGGCATTGTCTCTTCTTGAGGTCTCCCTTTTTCTCATTTCCAGGATGGCCAGTTTCCCTTCCCCGCCTCAGCTATTGCTAGTCTCCACACCTGCAAATACTGCTTCAGGCTCCACTGTGGCCTGTTCTGTGCACCCCTTCTCTCCTCGGAGCCTCTTCTGACCGAGCACCCTCACACTGCACTGTGAAAGCCCCAGAAGCCCTGGGTCCAGCCCTCTCCTCAGCCCTGGGAATGAACAGAGCCACCTCACCCTATCTGGTGCCGTTAACTACAGGGCACCGCTAGTGGAGGGAGTGTTTAAGGAACAAGTCTGGACCCACGGCAGTGGAGCCAGGACCAGAACTCAGATGCAGAGCTCTGCACCGGAACCCCAGTCCACCTCCCTGGCCTTCAGTGGCACCAGTGGCATCCTCAGAAAGCTGTGGGGTTTATCTCTGGAAAGGATAAAGGGTAGAATTCCTCTCCTGTTCCCACAAGAAGGGGACTAGGAGGGGGGGCAGGCGGATGTGACCCCGTCTTCCCAGACATCTTGAGACCCCATGGACAGCCCTCTGGGTGCTGTGAAGGTGTTGGAGGAATTTGATCCAAAAACTAGCTCAGAACTGTGGCTGGGAACTCGGAGGATGGTCTGCGTGCCCAGCAAAAATAGAGCCAAGGCCCAGCTATGAGGCCCTGTGGTAACAGGCAAGGATCTGGGCTGGACCCCTGAAGAGATCCTATAGCCAGGCTTTACTTCTGCCATCTTTAAGGCTAGTCCACTGGGACAGCCCTTGGAATCTGAGCTTGCCTTCTGCTCCCAGGGCAGAGCTAGGAGCCGATGCAGTACAGGCAGGGTTCCAGCCTCTGAGCCAAGGGTGCCCAGCACAGCTTTAGGAAAGGAGCTACCCCCGTGGGCCTTTCCACCACCATCCCTTGTCCTCATTCACACTGAGTTGGGACCCACTGGCCAAGACTGGGACATAAGATATGAACACCTGACATGGCCAGTCAAGTCCCCACTCCTGAAGTCAGTAATGTACATGGGAGGAAGGAGATGGAAGGTGACATCAGCCCCACTCCTTTGTCCTCTGTCCACAGTCTTCTAGTCCCCAGCATTCTGGCAAGGAGATAGCCCAGACCTCAGTCCCCAGCATTCGGGCAAGGAGATAGCCCAGACCTCAGTCCCCAGCATTCGGGCAAGGAGATAGCCCAGACCTCAGTCCCCAGCATTCGGGCAAGGAGATAGCCCAGACCTCAGTCCCCAGCATTCGGGCAAGGAGATAGCCCAGACCTCAGTCCCCAGCATTCGGGCAAGGAGATAGCCCAGACCTCAGTCCCCAGCATTCGGGCAAGGAGATAGCCCAGACCTCAGAACTAGGAATAATAAATCTGAACATTCAGGAAGAACTCTGAGGCTGGGAAGTTCACCCCAGTGTCTGGCCTGGGTCCCCTGCTTACAGAGGCAAGGGGATACTAGAAGAGAGGATCGTCGATGACTGATGTGTTGAGAATCTCTCAAGACATGAGACCTTCTAAAGTTGTCTCACTCGGACCCGCAGCTTGTCACGGGAACTGTCATTTGCCCCCACAGGAGTTTGGTGACTCCCTAGCCTAAGAAGGTGACTTCTGAGAGCCTCACCAATAAAGACTCAGGATAGATGCCCCTGAGGCTTGCAAGTGAGGCAGGCAGCATGCTGTCTTTGGCCCAGTGCTGTCCCCAGCCTCGGAGACCATCTTTGGGAAACAGGGAAATCCCCTTTCCAGGATACGGTCTGACAATGCCCAGTATACAAGGTTGACTCTAAGTTTACCCCAGTCATTGTGTTCTGAGGATCACAGTTCCCTCCTGAACCATATGGGAAGATCCACCCAGCTGACTTGAGTTCCGAGAAGAGATGGCGTCCCCACCGCCATGAACGATTCCTCTGAGAACAGCTGAATGGACAGGGATGAGGAGAGTCAGTCTCATTTTGGTTTTTGGCTTTTTAAGATGGGAGTCTTACTATAGAGCCCTGGGTGGCCTAGAACTTGCTATGTAGACCAGGCTGGTATCAAACTTAAGGTAATCTTCTCTCCAAGTGGTGTGCACCAGCACACCCAGCCTGAACTTTAAACAATTTTGGCTTAACCAGATTTCCTTTCTGTTTCCAAAGCTAAGGCCCTTCCTATAGATGGCAGAGTTAGTTTCTGGTTGGTAGGGGATCCCTGATGTCAGCTTATACCTCCTGCTTTCAGAGTCAGCTCTTCTGGGGAGGAAGGCTCTCCTAGCTTGCTTCCATGTTGCCGTAAACACCGTGAGCAAAGGCAGCTTGGGAAAGAAAGGGTTTATTTCAGCTTACAGGTTACAGTCCATCAGGAGGGAAGCCAAAGCAGGAACTCAAGACGGGTGGGTGCTGAATCAGAACCCCATGGAAGAATGTTTCTCACTGGCTTGCCTTCTCTTACTTGCTCAGCTACATTTCTGCTGTAGTCCAGGTCCTCCGGCCCGAGGATGACACCGCCCACAATGGGCGGGGCCCTCCTACATCAGTTAGCAATCAAGAAAGTGCTCCATAGAGCAGTCTGATGCAGGAGCTTCCTCAAGTGAGATTCCCTCTTCCCAAGTACGTCAAAGTTTATGTCAAGCTGACAAAGACTAGCCAGCATGAGGCCCACCAGGTGCCTTGTAATACCATCAGCAATTAGTGATGGCTCATTAGTCTGTAATTAATCAATGAAATTGGGATGAGAGCCCTTCACTCTGCACACAATAACAGTTCCATCCATGGCCCACGTGACAGATTCTGCTTAGCCTAGAGCCAAGGACTTGAAGAGCACTGGAGCCAGAGGAGGGATTATTGAGATGGAGGTTTGACTGTTGGGCTGGGTCTGAAATGAGAGGGGGAGGAGAGGGGCTTTGGATGGGATTCTCCCCGCCTCAGGTCAGCCCCTCTCCTCCCGGGGCACAGCTGCTTGTCCAGCAGTTCCACGTGGCTTAGCTTTCCCTTCCTTTATGTGACCTCAGAGGACCCTGAAGGTGGGCCTGGAATAAAGAAAACTCGAGAAAGGACTCACTCAGGAGGCCCAGAAGCCTGACTGTTCAATCCTGCCCCACCTGTGACTTGCTGTGAGCCAGTTCCCAACCTCCTCCAAGTCTGCAAGTATTCCCTGTGGAAAGAGTCCTCTTTCTGGAGACATCTCTGTGATCCCTGCATCCTCCAGACACCTTCCCTTGCTAGCCATGGTAGATAACCTCAGAGACAGGGATGCAATCATTGGCCCACACTGTAGAGGCTAGCTCAGTAGCTCCTACCTCTTGTTGCGGAAGATTGACCTGCAGGAGAGGGCTTCAGGCTGCCAAGTGCCCTCCAGGAGGAAGGTAGACTTGAGGCCTGGGAGTCTGGCTGCCACTTGCCTCCTAGAAGATAAGGAACCAGGTATCCTTGGCTCAGGGCCTGACTTGAAGGAGGCTGTGGGTGGCAGGGTGGGGTGCAGCGGTTTCTTGATCTTCTCAAGATAGTCAGGCCCACCCAGCCACACACCTGGCAGTTGACCTCAAGGACACCTAGTGTGAACCTGTCTTACCACCTCCCTCTAGGTTCTCCAGGAAAGCCATCAACGGAGTCAGAGTGGACCACTCTGAATGCTAGCAGGACCTTTTTTCTGCCATGCCAGCTTGTCCTTCGTTCATCCTCCCCAGTGCCTGCTTGAAGGCTTCCTTCCCGGTGTTTCTGGGCACATGGCTTTGGCCCTACTCATCCCACTAAGAGCTCTCTAGACTTCAGCAATCAGAACAGAATGAATTGGGTCCTTCCCTTTGCTCTGCTCTCCTGGTGGGCTGTCCTGGGATTGGCACTGAGGATAAGACAGGCCCACTGTGCAGTTTGCTTTGAAGTTCTAAAAGGACAAGGAGGCCCAAACGGCTGTGGGGCAAATGGGGGAGACCAGGTTCAGATGGAACTAGAAGAAAGCAGAGGCAACTGGAGGGTAGCAGACAGCCAGGAAAGTAAGCACAGGGATGGAGAGGGTGAAGGGGCACCGGAGAGATGGCTCAGTCAGCAAGCTGAGCAAGCCTGTGGATCTGAGTTCAGATCCATCTCCATCCAGTACCCATGTCAAAAACCATGCTACCTGTAACCGCAGTGCTGGGGTGCAGAGACAAGAGGATGCCTGGGCCTTGTTGGCCAGCTAGTCCAGCCAAATCTTTTCTGAGACATCCCATCTCAAAAAATATGGAGATAGAGGAAGATACCTACAGTCAACTTCTAGCCTTTATATACGCGTGCATACACATACATACATGTACATGCATGCACATACACACATCAGGGGGCGGGGGAAAGAATGTGTGAGGCACACAAACTGAACCAATGTGCGTGTGCAAACATACAGCTCTCTACCCTCTCTCTCCCTCCCTCTCTGGCTAGGGGTATGGAGGTGTGGGTGTGCATGCTCCCTCAGCCTCAATCCACGTCTGTTGATTTTCCACATCTCCATCCCCCAGCAGTAGCCCGCGGGAAGCAGGCACTGCATTTTCCCTTAGTCATGACCTTGAAGGAAAAACCAAAAAGCAAGACGCTTCTCATTCCCTCCCACACACAGCTGTGCTTGAGTTTGGCCCCTCACACCATGCTGGGTTGGCAACTTCAGGCCTGGAGTTTGTCAGACACGCTCCTCTTGTACCCTGGAGAGGAGTTTGGGACACAAGGTGCACCCCTCTTCTACACCCGACCCCAGTCTCTTCCTGCTGAGACTGAACTAGGTCTGAGCACTGAGAAAAGAGGCCCCGGTTCATCTAGCCTCCAACTGCAGCCGCTGGGCTGTTTAGCAAGGGCAGGCCTTTGGAGACAGTGAGAGAGAAATCCTAGCCTTGTAGATAGCTGACAGGGATGTAGGTCTTAAAGAGGGCCTCAGGGGCCTGAGGTTGTACTGGGAGTCGGGAGTCAACTGGTCCATTCTGGAAAGAATCACAGCACTCTCCCCACCCCCAGCTCCAGTTCTAGATTCTCCTCAAGGCCCAAAGGAGTCAGTCAGCTGTGCCAGGAAAAGCCATTACCCTGACAGACTCCCCCACCTGCTAAAAGCTTCCTCCTCCGCCCCCTACCCTTTCCCCTGGGCCTTCCTCCTCTCTTCCCTTCATCTCACTCACCTACCCTGACCACCTCTTAGTTAGGCTGAGGAGACTTAACTCTTTGTGGTCCTAAGGGAAAGCTCTGTCTAACTTCCCCCATCTTTTAACATCTGACTTGTTCCTGCAAAATCCCTTGAGCTTGGATGGAGGAGAGGACAGGAGCTGGAGGAGGAAGAGGGCTGTCAAGGGACAGGTCACGGGTTCCGATCTCAGACCTGTTGCTGCCATTCTCACGCCCTTGGTTTTGTATTTTCCTACACATGGAGTCACTTGAAAATCCCTAAGAGGCCCCCAGAGATGAACCAGTGTGGGAGCAGGTGTGTGACATGTGGCTTGTAGGAGGGCCTGCCTGCCTTTCTGCGTGTCCTCAGTACACCCACATCTCCACGACCGCTGTGCTGTCTTCCTCTGCCTCTGTCAGGGGTACAGAGTCTCAGTGCGGGAGGCCGAGGTGTCTCTGCTTTTACATCGGTGTGGCGGGCTGGTGGCAATGGCAAAGCCCATGAGCACTCTGGTCTCTGGCTTTGCAGGTGCAGCTATCGAGAGAGAGGACGGAAGTGCAGAATGGCAGGAAGAGCTCATGTGGCACCCCTCAGTCAGCCATGATCACAGAGACAGGGCAAAGGGACCACAGAGAGGGGATGCCCCAGACCTCCTCTGCTGGGTGTGTGGTGTAGCTCCCCTCCTACAGGCTGGGTCAGGGACTGCTCATCCGTGCCGCAGCACCATTGACAGCCTGATACAACGCAAGGATGTTAACTCTTTCCGTGAGCTGTTTAATGGCTCTGCATCTCAGGCTACCCATCTCCTGCACCCATCAGCTGCACGGAGCTGCAGAGAACCCCGGCTCCTGCCTCACCGGCAAGCCTGCCCCGAGAGCCTGAGAGCTCAAGGGCCAGGAAGCTTCCTCCTCGGCCCTGTGCCCAGCACCCTGTGTCCACCCCAGGGTTCTGAACACAGTGGGAAGGGAACTAGTATACCACACTGAGAGGGCTCAGAGCTGAGGCATCTGGGCCAGCCTACGACTCTGGGCCACACACTTAGAGAAAGGAAAGCCAGGCACAAGCAGCTTAGGGGGGTGGCACAGGGCCAACTGTTATCCAGAAGCAACCTCCCATGGAACAGACCTCCAGAGAAGAGGGTCCAGATGGGGTCCCGGCATAGATGCACCTGCCAGGATCCCTCTTTGGCAAGGAGAAGGAAATCGGATAGGCGTGGCATCTGCCCTGCTTTCTCTTGGAGCTTCCTGCCCCTGCACCTTAAGTAAAGGCCTCTGTAGTGGTCAGCAAGATGCGGTGGTCACCAAACAGAACCGCTGAGGGGAGAAGCCTGGCATGCATTGAGCCCAGGATGGCACGTGGGCCTACATGGGGAGAGCTGCCCACTTTCTGTCTACCCTCTGCCCAGTGGAGCCCAGGAAAGGGTCACAGCAGGCAGGAAGGCTCCTAACTCAACCACCCCTCCTCTGCAGAAAAACCACATCAGAGGAAGCCACCGCTCACAGTCCCAAAGCAGTGACCTCTGTGGCCTCAGAACCCACCAGAACACCCATCTGGGGGGACACAGTGAAAGTGGAGATCCAGGCAGAGGATGCAGGAAAAGAAGGTGAGGCTGGGGGCTGGGGGCTGGGGGCTGGGGGGGCTGGCGTGTGGGAGGGGCAGTGAACATAGCTCTACCCCCTTGGAAGGCAAAAGCGGGCTCCTCCCAACACAGCTGGAGATCACCTGAGCACCTCCCTGGGCTCCGATAAAAGCATTTGAAAGAGACAATCATAATCCCATCACGCCTCATCACCCCCAGCCTGCTGGAAAAATGAGTTGTTCCACATAAGTGAATTTTCCAGACAATGTGAGCTTATCGTTTTTTATGGCGGTTGTTATTATTTTCATGGTTGTTATTACTGCCATGTCCCATGGAAACGCCACTTTATAGTCTTGTAGCATGTCCCCACACATCCATCATTAGAGTCACCACCTCCTAAGAGGAGCTATGCTCCTTAGAAGAGAACACTAAGGCTTAGGGAATTTAAATAACACAAGTCCTGAGTGGATCTTTATCCCCAGCTTGTCTTCCCTTGGTCCTAGACCAGTGCTCACAAGTGTGCCCTGTTGTTTCTCACTGTGAGACCATCTAATGTCTACCCTCAAGTGAGAGGTTAGGCTGGACATATCGAAGTACTGACTGCTGATGCCAGAACTGATTGGAAACACTGGCACTGGCCTGGGAGCACTGGCGCTGGGCAGCCTGGGAGCACTGGTGCTGGGCAGCCTGGGAGCACTGGTGCTGGGCAGCCTGGGAGCACTAGCACTGGGCAGCCTGAGCACAATGGCACTGGGCAGCCTGGGAGCACTGGCACTGGGCAGCCTGGGAGCACTGGCACTGGGCAGCCTGGGAGCACTAGTGCTGGGCAGCCTTGGCGCACTGGCTCTGGGAAGCCTGGGAGCACTAACAGCACAGAGCAGAGGTCCCTTGCCACGTCCCTGGACTCAGCTAGTCAGATCAGCAGCCTTACTTCTTACAGATGGCTCTAGAAGAGACAGCAGGCTTTACTGTCCTTGTTCACCTCCCAGAGCCAAGAGTTGACTATCATGAGACCGTGGGAGGGAAAGAGGTAATGCAGTGGACTCCCACCCACAGGAGAAGCTAGCTGCAGGCAGGCAGGGGAACAGTTTCCTTTCTGTAAAGGGGGAAGTGGAGCTGTGGGGATGGTTTGAGAAGGTATGGAACAGAAGCAAAAACAGCCCTGGGATTTCACAGATACACATGTGTGCTTGTACACTCACACTTTGTGAGGACCTGTGTGCTGGCTTGTGTGTTTCTGTGAATGCCATTGCATAATACTGCTGCCTGTGCTGTAGTCTCCCTACCCCATGAGCGCGCTCTCTCTCTCTTTCTATCTGTGTGTGTGTGTGTGCGTGTGTGTAAGGAAGCTAGTAGGGATGGTAGGCGGCCCCTGCCTCCTTCTGCCATGCACAGCTGGAATAGAATGAGGGAGGACGTGACAAGGTCAGTGGTCTTGAGGCTTTTGTGTAGCCAGAAGCAGGACTAATTGCAGGAAAGACAGGAGGGGCAGGAGGGTGAGGAGGCCACACAAATCAGACAATATTGGCAGGCGCCTCTTTGCAGACTGAAGTCGCTTGTTGGAACCCAGTTGGAACCGGTTGCTGTGGTGATATCTACAGTGGAGGTAGGGAAGTGGGGGCCAGGCCAAGAGGCAAGAGGATTGGGTAGGGGGAGGCGGCTTGAGGACATGTTGATGAAAAGCAAAGGGGGGTTTTAGACCCTGGATCAAGGCCAAAGTGGGCGGGTAACCAAAATGGCTTGTTGGCCACACAAAAGGAGTGGTGGGAAGCAGAAGGGCTCAGTGCCCAAACAGGAAGCTGGAGAAGCCTGTTTGAAACAAGAAGACAGGATCATGGAAGGAATGGCTGTCCATCCCCCCAGTTACAGCTCAGGCCCAATTTCCTACAAAAACAGGGTGTCTCAAGACAGGCAGAGATGTGGGGTCTCATAAATTCCAATTGGTTTGGGGGACTCGGAGTCCGTGGGGAGTGGGTGTGTGTTTACAGCTTCCTTGGCTAGTGTTGTCGGACCTTGGCTGGGAGTGCAGGGCTCCCCCTGCAGATTCTCCTCAGATCTGTTCAGGGATGGGTGATTGTGTGGAGAGCTGCAGATGGTTAACAAGGGTAAACTAGTGAGAGCCGGGGTGAGGGATAGGTGGTCCTCATTCATAAGTTCTTCCTCAGAAATCTTAGGAATTGGATAAGATTTCTTTCTATTCTGTTTGGTTATATAAAGTATTAATGTTATACAGAAGCCCAGAGGGGATAAATGACTTCCTAGAGGCCAGAAAGTAAATTAGCACCTTAGTAAAAGAACCCAGACCTGCTGACTTCCAATCCTGGAGGTACTACGCTTTCTTCTGGTCAATTGCAAGCCTTCCAAGGCCTCTTTCTCTCTCTCTCTCTCTCTCTCTCTCTCTCTCTCTCTCTCTCTCTCTCTTTCTTTCTTTCTGGGTTTGGATCCCATGCAGCCCACTCTTGGCAAGTGGCTTCCCCTCTCTGTGAGTTCAGGGTATCTGTAAGGAAGACTGAGAAAGAATAGCTTCCTATCCTCTGGTCACCCCACTGCAGGTGGGAGGGGTGCACAGGCCTGGGGCAGCAGCTGTTCATGGTGCTTAAATGTCCTCTAGGGAAGGGCACTCCTCAAACTCTTTGTCCTTTCTTGCCCATTTTTCTCTGTATCTCTTTAGATTCTTCTTATTCTAGCTCCATCTTCTCTCCCCCATCCCTTTATCCTTCTCCTCTTTCTTCATTCCCCACCTCTTCTAAAAAAAATTCACCGATTTCCAAGAATGGGGAAAATGAATAGATCCCTGAATCCAGCCTCCTTGCCACCATTTCCCAGCTGCGGGATGTTGGTCCAGTTCCATGCCCCCTTTGAATGCCACTGCTCATATTTTAGAGAGAAAGGTGATGGTACTTGTTATAAGAATTCATAGGAATTTTAGCTGGGGAATTTTTAGCATTGTGCCTGGAACACAGCAGGTGCTCATGAGTGGGTACCGTGATCATTTCCAGGATGCTGGCTTTCTCCTTAAAGTTTGTCCTGATTTTAGGAGACAATGTTGTCTCTGGGAAATGTTTACTAAATGGTCTGCTGATCTTCATTCTAATTTCTTTGGAGCAGAGCTGGAAAAAAATGGCTTAGTGTTTAAAAGCACTTGTTGCTATTACAGAGGACCTGGACTCAGTTCCCAGAAGGCACACGGCAGCTGTGTGTAACTCCATGACTTAGAGTTTCTATTGTTGTGAAGAGACACTGTGACCATGGAAACTCTTAAAGAGGAAAACATTTAATTGGGGTGGCTTGCTGCAATTTTAGAAGTTTAGTCCATTATCATCATGGTGGGAGATGGTGGCGTACAGGCAGACATGGTGCTGGAGAAGGAGCTAAGAATTCTACATCTTGATCCAAAGGCAACAGAAAGTGAACTGAGACAGTGGGCATGGCTTGAACATATATGAGACCTCACAACCTGCCTCTACAGTGACAGACTTCCTCCAAGGCCATATCTACTCCAACAAAGCCACAGCTCCTAGTAGGCCACTCCCTATGAGCTTATGGGGGGATGGTTACATTCAAACTACCAAGTTCTACTCACTGATCCCCATAAGCTTGTAACAATATCATGATGCAAAATGCATTTAGTCCAACTTCAAAAGTACCTATAGTCTATCACAGTCTCAACAATGTTTTAATGTCCAAAGTTCAAAGTCTCTTCTGAGATTCATGCAATTTCTTAACTGTAATCACTTATAAAATCAAAATAAAAAAAACAGATCACAAACTTCCAACATATAATGGCACAAGATATACATTACCATTCTAAAACATAGGAAAGGAGCATAGTGAGGAAATACTAGACCAAAGCAAGACCAAAAACCAGCTGGACAAATTTCAAACTCTGCTTCTCCATGTCTGATGTCAAAGCGCTCTTCAGATCTCAACTCCATTCTCTGTGTCTCTGTCTCTGTCTCTGTCTGTCTCTGCCTGTCTCTCTCTCTGTCTCTGTCTCTCTCTCTGGCTGGCTGGTTCCACTCCCTATTAGCAGTTTTCCTCAACAGGTATCCCACAGCTCTGGCATCTCCAACATCTTGGGATCTCCAAGGCAATCCAGGCTTCAACTTTACAGCTTCACACAATGGCCTCTCTAGGTCTCCATTCAAGGACACCCCTGGCACATGTCTGACCTCAGCAGCTTTCCTAACTTGCTGAGGAGTAATGGAGAAATATTCTATTACCTCTTCCTTCTATCCTTAAAGCCAGAACCACAGGGCAGAAGCTGCTAAGTTCTGATGCTTGCTGGGGCTAGAATATGGCCCCCCTGTTCAATTGCATCTTGACCAGCTTTCTGTCTCCCTTTACTCCCTAGGCTTGGTTGTCCTGAAACTGGATCTGTAGACCAGGCTGGCCTCACACTCTGAGATCTGCCAGCCTCTGCCTTCTGAGTGCTGGGATTAAAGGTGTGAACCACCATACCCAGTTCTAAGCTTTTCTTTATCCCTTTTCACAAGTTGGAAACTAAACTGGGTGGGATCTTGCCCTGAGGTCACCACTCCCTTTATTCCATGTCTTAATCTGATTTATCTCCTTGAACACAGGATTTAGCTCCACTCTACTTCCTGGTGCCCCTTTTCTCAATCTGTTCATTTTGAATTTTCATTTGCCCAACTTGCTCCTTTTCATTATAAATCTTCATTAGAGTTACCACTAATAACCACACAACAGAGACTATGCTAGGCTGTTTTGAGATTTCCTCTGCCAATGGAATTCATCTAAAACTCTTCACCTTAGCTTCAGGCAGACTCTTTGGACAAGGGTGAAAAGCAGTCACATTCTTCACCAAAATATAATAAGATCAATCTCTAGGCTACATATTGCTATTATTATTCTCCTCTGAGACATCTTGAGCTAGTTCATCAAATCACACTCAGCACCACTGTCTTCCATGCTCCTACTAGGATGGCCCATTCAGCAACACTTAAAACATTCAACTGCTTTTCTAATCCACAGTCACAAGGTCTATATTCTTTCAAATAAAACCGTTGTCAGGTCTCTCACAGTAATACCCCAGTACCTGTATTCTGTCGTAGTTCGGGTTTCTATTGCTGTAAAGAGCCAACATAACCACAACAGCTTTTATAGGGGAAAATATTTAATTGGGGTGGCTTACAGTTCAGGGGTTTAGTCCATTGTCACCATGGTGGGACATGGTGGCATGCAGGTAGACACAGTGCTGGAGAAGGAGCTGAGAATTCTATATCTTGTTCCAAAGGCAACAGGAAGTAAACTGAGACGCTGGTCATGGTTCAAGCATAAATGAAACCTTAAAACCTGCCTTCACAGTAACACACTTCCTCCAACAAGGCATACCTATTCCAACAAAGCCACACCTCCTAATAGTGCCACTCCATATGAGCTTATAGGGGCAGTTGCGTTCAAACTACTGCACCACACTCCAGTCCCAGGGAATCTGATGCCCTCTCTGGCCTTTGCAGGCACAAGGCTATCACATGGTGCACATGCAGTCAAGTAGGCAAACAGTCACACACAGAAAATGAAAATAAAATTAAACTTCCCAAAAGTACTGAATTTACTTGGAGTAAGCTTCTTTAATTATTTATTTTTATTTTATGAGTGTGGGCAGTTTGTCTTCCTGCATGTCTATGCACCATACGCATGCAGTGCCTATGGAGGCCAGAAGGGGATGTGAGATCTGGACCTGGAGTTACCAGTGTTGTTAGTTGCCTTGTGGGTTCTGGAAATTGAACCCAGGTCGTCTGGAGAACTGTCAGTACTCTTGATGCTGAGCCATCTCTCTAGCCCCATGAAGTAGACTTTTCCTGGTTCTTATATTGAGCATTTTCTTGAATAGATTGTTGTTCTTGACTGAGCCTCTCTTTCCCTACCTAAAACATACAGGACACACTCCTTCCCAGTGGGAGTGTTTCTGACTAAGAAGTCTCAGTCCTGCAGGGGGCGCTATTACTATTGGCCTGTAACACTATGCTTACGTATGTCTATTGCCTTGTAGGACTGAACTTGGTCCTATGTGGCCATTCTTGGGTCAGAGGTTTTTCACATTTGGAGGTTCTCACAGTACGAGACATGGAGCCTTGCCCTGGATAGAAATGCAAATAGTGCCTGGGGGTTTTTATACACATGTATGTTTCCCACATGTACATGTGTCATGTGACTTTCCCCAGGAAAACAAATGTGTTTATCCCATGTGGTGTACCACAACAAACTAATGATTCCTCTCAAGTCTAGCTTGATGGACCAGAAAATTTATTTAGGTTACTTCAAGGAAGGAGCTACTACTATATTAGTCTCCTTCCCCATCACTGTGATAAAACATTGACCAAAAACAACTTGGGGAAGAAAGGGTTTATTTGACTTACAGGTTATAGTCCATCAGGGGAAACCAAGGCAGGAACTCAAGATAGTAGCTTAGAGCAAAATTTAATAGAAGAATTTTGTTTACTGGCTTGCCCACTACTTTTCTTATACAGACTGGGCCCGTCTGACTAAGGATGGCACCGCCCACAGTGGACTGGGCCCCCTGCTTCAATTAGTAATTAAGAAAATGGCCCAAAGACATGCCTACAGTTCAGTCTGATGGAGTCAATTCCCCACTTGGTGGTCCTTCTTCCCACATGACTCTAGTTTGTGCCTACTCGACAAAATCCAGCCAGTACAGTCACAGGAGCATGGGGGCTCGGAGGCAGCAAAATCACTGGAAAGCTCACCCTCAGCTGGGGAGGCAACACACAAAAGCAGCATGTGTGTGTGTGTGTGTGTGTGTGTGTGTGTGTGTGTGTGTGTGTGTGGTGTAGATTCTGGCACAGCTTGCAGGCAGCTCCACCAGAGAATCTCCTTTTACCAGTAATTGTTGACTGCTATTATCATCGGGAGAGGGATTGTGAATTTTGAAATTTTCTGAGCCTTTCCATTTCATGGTTTTCCTGAGTTTTCTGAGCCTCCCTCCCTGCTCCAGAAGGGAGTGTTTACTTCTATGAAAAGAGCTACCCAAGGAAAGGCCTACATTCCTCCATGCGTTCCAACATCTGTCTGTCTCCACAATGTCCCTTGCCTCTCGATGTCTCCCGTCACTGGGAAAGCTCTTTCCCCACCCTCCACTCTCTCCAGATGTCATCCTCAAGGTGATGGACAACAACAAGAAAGAGGAGTTGGTGTCCTATACAATCCCCATTAAATACCTACGTGTCTTCCACCCGTACCACTTTGAGTTTAAGAAGGTAAGCCTAAGCAAGCCCCGGGCTCAGCCTAACCTCTGCCTGGCTAGGGGAGATCTGATGGGAAGTGCTTTGGTGTTCCCAAATGTTCTCTGAGAATAGAGTGGAGGGTGGACCCAGGCCATGCTCCTCCCAAGCCAGAGATGTGGAGTATAAATTTGGTAGGCAAAACATTCTCCAGAATGAACCCTGTCAGGGGGACAACTGAATACCAACCTGGAGTAGAAATTCCAGCCTCTCAACCTTGGACTAGACTCCTTACTGCTGACTGGTGAAGGGGAAGATCCACTCTCATTGATCAAGCATTTATTAAGCACCTACTGAGTGCCTGGTCCTAGACCACAAAGGAGTAGAAGCATCACCTTGCTCTCCTCCAGCAAGCACTCCAGTACTTTTCCTTTCAAAGGACAGGACAATATGAGATAAGATTGTCTGGGTTCCTTCCCAGGTCTGCCACTTCCTAGCTGTATACCCATAGGAGGCCACTTTACCCCAGACCTCCATTGCTCCATAACGAAGGCAACACATGGCACCTCTGGACAGGCTCTGGTGTGGTAATGGGTGAAGTGCCAGCACATGGGAAGAACTCAGCATAGGTAGTTCCCATCCTTTCTCCTTCCCTCAGGCCTTGGCACTCACCTTCCTGCCAAGCAACTCTTCCACCATGATGCCAAAGATCTTTATCTTCCCTGGGTTCCAGGACTACAGAAGGGGAACCAGGGCAGGCAGGAAAGCAAACCTCTTCCCCAAGAGACCCTGGAGGTAGCCCTAGATCTGTCTCTGCCAACCCCTAGCCCCCCCCCCCAGCCCTCTGTCCACCTACATCACAGGCCTCCTTATCACATTTTCACCCAGAGAGCAGGCAGCAGTAGCGTCTGCGAGGGCAATGAAATATTCAAACGGAAAAGGGGAGATTTATTGGCCGATCTTCTTGGAAGGGCTCCCAGGGACCATGAGCTTTAATTACAGCTGGAGTCCCAGTGGTGCAATGATAAGCAAGTGTCCGCACAGGGCTGGATTTATGACCAGGTTCTGCCCCTTAGACATGCTCCTTCCTATGTTTCTTCTGTCTCCATCCTGTCTTCACCCCACGCAGTCTGAGAATGCTGATGAAGACACTGCCAAGACCCGCCTCTATGCCACTGTGGTTCGGAAGGGCAACTTGCTACCCCGCTACATTGGCTGTGACCATACCGCTCTGGAGGTACCAGCATTGGGGGGACTGAGGGGACAGGTAGAGCCCTTGATTGCCTCCAATTGGCTTTAGAGTATGGATCACAGGTGTCTAGGGAAGAAATCAACAAAGACAAAAGCAATGAGACCTTTCCAAATTAGCCAGTGAGACGGCTCAGTGGGTAAAGTATTCACGTGCAATCCTGATGACCTAAGTTCAGTCCCTGAAATACACACAGAGAACTGACTCCATAAGGTTGTCCTGTGGCCTACACTCACACAAACACACACACGCATGCATGCAGCATGCACAAGCACCCCTCCCACAGACAAACATACCATACACACAATAAGAATAATTTTTTAAAAAAATATTTAAAACATAAACAACAAAATAGCCAGAATGTGTGAAGACGATCCCTGATTGGGACAAAAGTGCCCTGGTCTCTCCTTCCTGTACTGCCCTTGGACGGAGGAAAAAGGGGCCGAGTGGCAGCTGTGTTTCTCATGTGCCTGTGTATTTCAGGGAGCAACAGTAGGCTCCCTTGGATTTTGCACTCCCAGGAGCAAAGAAAAGCCCATCTTCCATATCCTGGTCCAGTCCCTGGCTGTGTTCAGGTCTGTTCTCTCCTGTTGGGGTAAGGACTCATGACCTAGGGCTTACAACTGCCAGACAAAGCCTGTCATCTCCCTGGCCCTTCCTGAACTCGGCTGGTCTACTGCTTGAGAGTGCACAGCCTCTTTCACCCACTCATCCTCCCAACAGCTGTTTATACACTGTCAGTCACCCACAGCCACTGGGCAGACCGAGCACGAGCCACACCATAATCTCTCACCGTTCAGCCCAGCGACAGCTTCGGGAGGAATGACAGATGCTTGAGGCAGGCACAGCCCAGGCTCCTGGGCCCTGAGCCTCTCCCTAAGCCACAGATGTCTCTGTGCGACCCACGGGACTCTGACACTAGCCTTCTCCTACCCCAGCAGATCTGATCTGACCCCTTGCTATGGAGCGCCATGAGCCTGGTAGGGCAATAACTGATCTCGAGTCCCATGTCACATCTGGGGACACTGAGACCCACAGGAGTCTGATAGAAGAGCCCGGAGATCCTACACGACATCTCTGCTTCTCCCACAGCCACCCCTTGGGAGTCAGCAGGCATCCCTTTCCTTTCTTCTGTCTGGCCCCTTTCTAGGACAGCCAATTACTCCAGCATATGGAACAAGGAAAAGTAAAGTCAAGGTGGCTTTGCTGTCCCCAAGTTTCATCCAGGAAGGGGCCACAACTCCAGGACTGTCGAGTTGACCCACTCCTGCCTTAATCTCTGCCTTGTCTAGTAGAGTCTGAGCTACCCTGCCCCCAGCAGCCCATCCACCCACTCCCCTGTTGCAGTATAGACCTTCCTCCCGAATATGTCACAGTTACAGCCACAGGAACACCCATCTGTTACTGATGGTAGACCAGGAGACACAGTGGGAGAAGAAATTGCTTCAGCTACTCACCAGACGATCAGGAGCAGGTGTCCGGGTACCAGTGTCTCATTCACCCCTGGCCAGAGTCAGCACACAGCAGGTGTAAATTGTCCATCCCCTCCAGACACACCTACACCATCCCCTTTGGCCCACATACCTGTCAGAGTTCTTGTGAGCATCAGGGCATGACGGCTCTGCACTGACATCAGAGGCTCACTGGGAGGCTCAGCTGAGAGCCAAAAGGCTCTAAGGAAGTGGTGGGGGGCACAAGTCACAAGCCTTCATCTGTTTACTCCTTTCTTCTACAGGTCTTGGTTCAGGGAGTCAATGAGCCCCTGGTCAACAACCCCAGCCCTATGGTGGTGATTGCTCGGGTGGTTCCCAGCTATACTGAGTTTAAGTAAGTGGGTACAGGTTAGGAGGGAGGGGAGGGCAGAGGGCTGGGATGGGGAAAACTTCCCCTCACCTAAGTTCCCTCAAAGCTCCCCACGCACCTTGACTTGAGGCTCTAGTGAGCTTCCCATAGCAGACTTTGCCTTTCTCTTCCAGAAGACCCGAGCCCTGGAAGGGGAAAGTGGGGATCTCTCCTAAGATTTTTGAGCGTATAGGGCCTAAAGAACAGGAAGGAGCTGGTATTAAGAAGCCCAAGAGAGGCCCCTTTTCCTGCCCAGGAGCACCTCTGCCCCCACAACAAACAAGCCTGCCATCCTAGGCTTACCACGCCATGGTCCCCTTTCCTTATCAGGCTCAAGGCTTCATTCAGGATCCTGCTGCTGGTGGTCCCCAGTGGATGACATAAGGCCATCTTGGAACCTTAGTCCTGCGGGGAGGGTCCTCTCTCTGCCTCCTGAAGGAGTCTGTGGTCTTCACTGTTCCCAGATCTCCTTGAGTTACAAGCTCAGGAACGGATCCAGATAGTTTGATCACTGAAGCCCAAAGAGGGGAACGTTCTTCAGGCAACGTGTGTGCTCTGGGCCAGCACCCCTCCTGAAGTCAGCCTTCACCTGTCACTACTGTCCAAGCTGACTTCCTGACTACCTACAGCTCTGAGTGTTTAGACCCTAAAAGCCCCACTTTCTTACTGGAGGAATAACCACTAATGTCCCGCTGCAGGGATAATATCCCACTGCACCCAAACTGCAGGCCTGCATGCACGTTCCCCCACAGGCTCTTCACCCGGTAAGCATAAGCCAGGATTCTCACAAGTCAGGAACAATTCTGATAAAGACTTTCAAAGATGAGGTGGGGAAGGTAAGGCCCCCTTTAAAGATGGTAAAGCTGACTGTCTCTGATATAGCCAAGGTCATCTCAAATCACTGCTGAGGGAGCCTAAGAGCTACCCTTGTCATCTCCAGACCAAAATTAGCCTTCCCAAGGCTTGGGCCAGAGATCACCAGCTTGTTTGTTACAAGGCTTAAAGAAGGTGGCCACTGCACTCACCCCTTCACCTTAACCCAGTCCAGGTGTGAGCCCCAGCTGCCAGGCTGGCCACAGGTCAGAGAGTCTCCAACTCCTGTCTCCTTGCCTCTCCAGGGCCAACCAGACCAGACGGGACCCTGCCTCTGTGGGGCTGCCCCTCACCCAGATCTCCTTCCCTATTTCATCACCAATGAACTTTGATGTGCCTCGGGTCAGCCAGAATGGGTATCCTCAGGTATGGCTCCTTCCCAGCCACGGCCTCTCACTGGAGTACACGAGTAACCGAGTAACCGACACATTCCTTCATCATGACGTCAGGCAGCAGCTCAGCTAATGCTGAGAAGTATTCGCTGCATCTCACTGCTGCACAGGATCTGCTCCTGTGTGCTGCACAGAACCTGCCCTCGGGACTCCTGGAGATACTAAATATCCACCCAGTTCATGTCTAATCTAGTAACAAGCCAACGGGGACTGTCAGAGCTAAGGAAAGCAGAAAAGAGGAGACACAAAGAACAAAGTATGGATTCCACCTGTCGTGGGGCACCTCAAATCAACAGTCATAGGGACAAAAGGCACAATAGGGTTATCAAGGGTTGGGGAGATGAGAGAGCAGGGGACTACTGGTTTGTGGGTGTGAAACACTTAGGATGATGTGTGAACATGCATGTTTGTGTGTGCATGTGTGTTCATGTGTGTGTGTGAGTGTGTGTGTGTGTGTGTGTGTGTGTGTGTGTGTAGAACAGAGGTCAACGTGCAGTGTTTTCACTTGATTGTTTTCATATTTTTTAAATTTGGGGTGTATTGTGTGTTCACACAGAACAAGTATGGAAGTCAAGGGTTCAACATGCAGGACTGTCGATTGCGTTGGGTGGGTTACTCAGTCTAGGGGTTTGTAACCCACCCTGCAATCAGTTATTCCAGGGTCACGGAGGGGCGCTACCTGGAAGGGAATGAGCTAGGACAGAAGAAGGAGGCTAAGCAGATTTGTCAAAGCCTCCGTTTATTAGGATCATGGTTGCTGCTTATATAGCCCCTGAAGGGTAGGGAAACTGGACTCTTGCCACGCATTCCAGGTCACGTAAGCCAGGTTACGTTCGGACAGGTAGGCCAAGAAGTCACGAGTTGCCACACCTGGTTCCCTGGATAGCTGGAATGTGAGGCGAGTTCTGCTAACAGATTAGCAGTTAATTGGGTGTGGGGCAGGTTCTCAATAGAACATAATTATGGGTGTGAGGTTCCCTGCAGACTCCCCAGGGTGATGGTTCCTGTAATGATTTTTAGGGGGGAAATGGCTCGTGACACAGGACCCTGTTCTCTCCTTCCACCATATGGGTCCCAAGGATCGAACTCAGGTCATCCATCTTGGCAGCCAGCACCTTTACCCACTGAACTCTCTTAAGAGCCCTTCTTCCCCTTATTTTTTGAGACTGTCTCAGTGAATCTGGAGCTCACTGACTCAGCTAGACTGACTGGCCAGCAAGATCCAGGGACCCGCCTGTCTCTGCCTCTCCGTGCTGGGATTCCAGGAGCTCACCATCTTGCCTAGCTTTTTCATATGTGTGCTGAGGACAGAACTCAGATCTTTAGCAAGGTCTTCAGAGAACTGGTCATTTTCTCAGCCTCCATAATATCTTTTTAAGGAGAGAAATGGAATGCTGATGTCTGGATGGTTAGGGAAGGCAAGTCATGACCCTTCACCTTGTTTTTGAGACAGGGTCTTTCCATCTGCCTGCTTTACCCTCCCAGCCCTAGTAAAACAGGCACGTGTCACTACGCCAACTCAGTCATCACTTTCTAGGCTTTTTTTTCCTTTTCAATTCATTATCAATGTATTGATAATGAGGGGGCAACCATACCACAACACACACATAGAGGTCAGAGGACAGCTTTGTGGAACTGGCTTTATATAGGTTCCAGAGATCATACTCAGGTGGCTAGCCTTAACAGAAAGTCTCTTTAGTGCTGAGTCATTTCACCAGCCCATTGGTCTTGATGTTTTGTTATGAAAGGGCTGGTCCAGGGCAGTAAAAACACCTATATTGTATAGTATATAGTATAACCCAAGATGTCGTGAGTGCTGGGAATGGGCAGGAAGATGTTTGCTTAAATATGTTGGAGAAGGGGTACACAGGCCATGGCTGGACCCAGGAAATGGCCAGATTGACCTCCTGTAGACTGCACACCCCTCGGAGCTTGCTGTACGTGATGGAGGAAGCTTGGAAGACAGGGGGTTCTTGGAAGTCCCTCCTGTCATCTGTCCACTAAAATTAGAACGAGACACTCGATTGGAGCCCTAGCTTTCATGTAAAAGCTTTCATTTAAAGAAGGTTCAGACACAGGCAGGAGTGATGGTAGGCAGGGAAGGGTGGAATAAAGGGGGGGATCATGGGGACAGCTTCAAAATCCTTGGCCTGATTTCCCCAGAGTCACCTCACACATGGCCCTGCATTTGCACAGAAAATTATGAACCAACCGGCAGCTGTCCCAAGGGACAGGAGATACTGCCTGCTTTAATGAGTGAGCCTCTCCAGGCCTGACCACTGGCTGTCTCCACTGCCTACTACACGTAAAAGGGCGAGGCACTCCTCCCGACAGAGCTCTCCAGTGCTTTTCCCATGTGTGGGACTCAAGGCCAGAGCCCAGCAACAAGACACTTGCTTAAGGTTACCCAGTATGGTGGCCGCTGGATAAAGTCTAAAGCTACATGTAGCCTGTGCAGAGAGGCCCAGAAGCCAACAGGGAAAATGAGAGAGACAGGCTGGGAAGTAAGAGGGATCCTGTCATGAATTCTGAGCCTAGAGAGTCCCCTACCTGTCCCTTCTGAGCTTCATGGTCTTTACAGTTGACGGAGTGGGGACTGAACCAGGTAATTTCCAAGTCCGGTCTTCTTTGACATCTTGGAGTGCTGTGCATTTCCCACAACCCCTGGGGAGTGGTTGCTAGACCCAGCAGGCCTAGGTTGGAGTCTAACTCTGTAGCTTGCTAGTGTGTGACCTTCAACAAACCCTATGGTTCCTCCAGACCTGTTGACTCCTACCTGACTAGGCAGTTAGACTGAAAGAGCTAACCCAGGCCAGGAGTCCCTTCTGTCTCCTTCAGAGTTTCACAGTCTTTATGATAGAACTCCCCCTGAGGCCAGCCTTATCATTGCACCTGATGCCTGTGATGAGCCCCACAGTAACCCCATCTCAGATGGACCTCTCTAACCGCCCGTACATCACAGTCTCGGCATCAGACGCCACCCCGTGGTAGCCCTTAAGGACATGATCTCTGACACCTAGCAATGATCATTTGGGCAAGTGTCCCAGGTTTCTGGCCCAGACATGATCAAAGGCTAGTAAAGAGCTAGGTTTTTATGAGAAACTATTAACTAACTCCTCCTACTAAGTTCCCAACCAACCTTCCTTCTGGTCTCCTTGGCCAGAGTCCGATCATAAGCACTTCCTGGTGCCATTTCCTAAGGAGGGTGTGGTTCTGACTTGCTGATAGCCTAAGTCAGCAGCTGTGAAGAAAGGAGCCACTTGAATAAGAGGGCTCTAGCTTCCGACTGAGGCAAGGAGAACAGAACGTACCAAGTCACCCCAAGTCTGTCCCACAGAACGTACCAGGTCACCCCCAGTCTGTTCCACAGAATGTACCAGGTCACCCCCAGTCTGTTCCACAGAACGTACCAGGTCACCCCCAGTCTGTTCCACAGAACGTACCAGGTCACCCCCAGTCTGTTCTGCTCCTTCCCCAGCCTGGTGAGGATGGCAAAACCTGGGCTCTGGTGAGTCAAGCGATAGATCAGACATATCTGGTTGGACATAGACTTGTGAGCTGGACCCATCTGCTTGCTCCTGTAGCTCTCACAACCTGCAACATGGGGGGCAGAGCTCCCGAGAGTGAAACAAATGGAGGAGAAGAACCATCTGTGCCCGTCATCTCACCCTGACCCAGTCTCCCAGTCTTCCCAAGCTCTTAGAGTCTTTCCCATCACCCTGGGTTCGCTCTAGTACTGGCTGCTGTTCTTGCCTGGACCATTGTCGCAGCCTTCCCATTCCAGAAGCAGGTAAGGGATGCCCTGCCCGAACCACAGGCTTCCCTGGGCCCCTTCAGCCCTCTCTCACACAGAACCAAGCCCCAGTTACCTGTGTACTGTTTGTCCAGATACAGGAGCTCATCACTCCAATTCTCACCCAGCCTCGGGGAAGACTCATCCACTGTTCTGTGTTAGTCCTCTCTCACCTTCAACCTTGACCTCAACTCTCAGCTCTTCCCTGCCCCAGATTCTTAAGCAGTGTGGCTTTCTCTTCACGTATCCTAACTGCTACCACAAGAACTTGATCAGGCCGCTGCACGGTGGCAGGAATGGGTGGGTATTTATTCACATCGTAGATATACTCTATACTCTCGGAAGATAAGCTCTAGGAAGGGGCAGAGTCTGCCTCTAGCTTTCCCACAGTCAATGCAACACCCTATGAGTGTCTGTCATGGCGTCCCAGGCAATATTTGCTAAGTTAAGTCAAACTGAACTTCCGCTTACTAGAAAAACATCCATTGTCTCCTTCAGCCTTGCAAACAGCTTTCAAAGTGTGAAGCAAGAGGCATTTATTTGACCAAAACAAAAACAAACAAACAAAAGAAAAAAAAAACAACTAAGTCCCAGAGAGGGAAAGGGACCTGCTGGGAGCCAAACAATAAGTTTAAAGTGGGCCCAGAACAATGAGGACTGCTGAGACCCCAAGAACAATGGCAATGGGTTTTTGATCCTACTGCACCTATTGGTTTAGTGGGAGCCTAGACAGTTTGGATGCTCACCTTACTAGACCTGGATGGAGGTGGGTGGTCCTTGGACTTCCCACAGGGCAGGGAACCCTGATTGCTCTTTGGGCTGACGAGGGAGGGGGACTTGATTGGGGGAGGGGAAGGGAAAGGGGAGGCGGCGGTGGGGAAGAGACAGAAATCTTTAATTAATTAATAAAGAAATAAATAAAAAAAAATAAAGTGGGCCCAGAGCCAAGGGTCCTAGCTTGCTGGGAGTCCCAGGCAGCACCAGCTGCCAGCAGCTCTTCCCCGCAGCATGCCTCTGCTGTTCCTGGGCAGAGCAGACAGCAGTGGATGAGGGTGAGAGCCAGGGTGAGTCCAGGGGAAATAGGAGAAGGAAGGGCCAAGGGCCCCTAGAATGAAGGCTCTGTCCCCAGGGAAGGCAGGTCTACCTCAGTGGCAGAGGGTTAATGGCTTTTCTGAAGATCACAGCTGAGGGTTAATGATATTCCTTAATTCCAAAGCCCGCCATAGCCTTTCCCATTAGCATCTTCAGGCCATGTCTACCCTATCCCCACCCCACGCCCTCACCCCTGCACAGCATTCAGATCAGCCACTAGCACTTGCCTCTTCATGGGGCTTTATTTAACTGTGAGTCTTACACACCCTCATTTGTGTGTGTGTGTGTGTGTGTGTGTGAGAGAGAGAGAGAGAGAGAGAGAGAGAGAGAGAGAGAGAGAGAGAGAGAGAGAGAGAATATGTATTATCTGCCCTCCGATATTCCAGGTATGAAGGGCTTTCTCCTAGGGACCTACCCTGGGACCCTTTCAAGGAAAGGCTGTCCCTCATTGGGCAGCAGCCACTTACCACCTCTTGCCATGTAGACTCCATTTAGATCTGTTAATAAGTCCCACAGCAGACAGCTAGCATCCATTAAATAACCCTTTCCCAGGATAGGGGCAACAAATGAGGCAGCAAGAAACCAAGTCACAGTTCCTCCTCCCTGAGGGCCTTGGGGCCTGGCAGCTGGCCCAGGCAATATGGACACTCCCCTCTGATACCCAGGATGTGGGAGGGTCATAGCGTGGGGATCAATCCTAAGAGACCAATACCAAGCTTCACAGAACTCAGGTCTGGCTTCTGGGGCCTCGCCTACTGACCCTCCCTGAGCTTCCACCATGACATCTTAGGGATGTGTCCGTGACTCCAGCCACCATCCTAGTGCTCATCTGTCCCTGTGCTGACCACAAACCTTCTCCTTGGGGACAGGGAAAGATTCAGACAATCCTTGGGCAAGACTCCTGAGGACCAGAGCAAGCCTACTAGTGTTAGAGACGTGAGAGCCCCGCCCAGTCAGGAGGAGTAGGCCTGCACTGATATTCCTCTGTCTAACGTCTGTAACCCCTGGAGTGTTTGTGCTGACCTTTTCCTGAGATTGCTAATCCCCCCAGGGTTTTTTCTAAAGCTTTCAGGTCAAAACATAGGACCCCTGCCACCGTGGCTGGTGGCCCCGGGCAGGGCAGTGGCAAGGCAGCCCATGCTGAGATCATGCAGCTATTTTTCCACCATTTATGTGGGTTCTTGGATTTTTCATGAGTCCCCCCATTCCCTTCCAGGATCCTTTGCGTGTCCTAAGCTGTATGCCTCCTCCACACGTTGTGGCTTGTGTCACTCTCCCACTGGAAGCCCCTCCCCTCTTCTTTCACCATGTCACATCCCCCTTCAGGGCCTCTTCTGGCCCTGCTTCCTCTGAGGTTTGGGGACCACCCAGGGTCTCCCTCATTGGGTATTAGTCAGCGCTGCCACATTTCCTCTTCCAAGCCATGCCCATGTGTGTGCCCCACATTCCGGAGTCTGAGGACCTGTGTGGCCTTCTGGGCGGGTCTGGGGTAACTTGTGTGGAACAGACAGGGGCTGTGGATGTTGGTACAGCACTGGGGAACACTACACACATCTAGCAAGCACTTTAGAGCTTGAAAATGTTTTCACTGAGCAGTACTTTAGGTATTTGCACTGGGAAAACAGTCTGGGGTGCAGAGGTGTGCGGCAAGGAACACCGAGCACAGTGTCGTCGGAGGAAAACATATCAGAAAATGGGAGAGCGAAATGGCTCAGAGTGCTAAGGTGTTTGCTTCCATTCCTGAAAATTTGAGTTTGATTACCCAAAATCTACCACATGGTGGAAGAAGAAAGTTGGTTCAAGCAAGCTGTTCTTTGACCTCTGCATATGTGTTGTGGTGCACACACACACATGCACACACACACGCACACACACATTAAAAACTTTAAAAGAAGGAAAAATCAGGGCAATTGGACATGATAACGCATCTTCTGGGGAAGATGGGCTCTGTTTTGATTTTTAAGAGGGTCATATGTAACCCAGGCTGGCCTCAAATTTGCTGGATAGCTAAGGTGTCCTCCAACTCTTTATATAGCCCAAGTTGTCCTTGAACTCCCAATCCTCCTGCCTCTACCTCTCAAGTGCTGGGATTGTAGGTCTGTGCCACCAAACATAGGATATCTTAAAGTTACTAAAGTCGTGAGTAACGGGAGTTTCTGGAGACTCTGCGTGTGCTTCTGTTTTGAGTGTGAACGGAAAAGTGCAGAGTGGTAATCAGACAAAAACAATGTGCGCAGACAAAATGGGAACACGGTGGTATTGAGTGACCATCTTTTTTCTCTGATAACAGGGTTTCTCTGTGTTGCCCTGTAGACCAGGCTGGCCTCGAACTCAAGAGATCTGTCTGCCTCTGCCTCCCAAGTGCTGGGATTAAAGACATGCGCCACCATTGCCCAGTTTGAGTGGTTGTCTTTATGTAAGAATATAGGAGTTCCCCCTTCCTTTTATTTACCATTTTTTTTTTTGCCTTTTTATAACTGGAACAAACGGATACATGTGCACCAAACCTAGAAGAAAGGATGACCCCATGGCTTCTCTCTCATTCTTCCAGCTGTCCAGGCCCGGGGGACCCCCAGAGCAGCCCATATGGAACCAGTCCTTCCTCTTCCAAGGCCGAGATGGAGCCACCAATTTCTCAGAGGACACAGCATTGGTGCTGGAGTATTACCCTTCTGCTTCAAGTAAGTGCCCAGTGTCCCATCAGGGCAGAATTCATCAGGAGAATCTTATTAAGGGACATTTGGACAGCCTGCCTCTGCCTCTTTCTTGTAAGGACTGCCTAAGGATCTCCAGGAGCCAGGAACCCCCAGTACAGGCAAAGACTAGAAGAAGGTCTACTTTAAATCCACATCCATAGGGCAGCTATGGAGCACAGGCCAGGAATTGTAGGCCTATCCCTGCCTGGACACCGTAGCATCCATCAGTGAGAAGAGGGTGTACTGGAGAATGGCAGAGGAACACACACACACACTAGAGGATGGAGACAGGATGAATCAGAAGAATACCTATCTGCTTAGAGTTGCTCTGAACTGATAAATCTCTGAATCTGGCCAAGTGTGTGTGTATAAGGGAAAATGGGAGGCAGGGAACCAGGGGCAGTGGGAACCTAGAGAGTTGCATGTCCAATGCCAGGGATGGAGCCTGTCTAAAAACCCATCTAGGAACCTGGGCAGCAGGAACAGGAAGTTGTTGACAGGAGCTTCAGTTGGTCCTTCCTCCCACAGTGAAAAGCAGTGAACCATGGACCCTCAAACAGCCCTTGGGTGTCTCCGTGCTACCACTAAAGCCTCGTCTGTACCACAAGATGTTGACAGGAAAAGTCTTGAAAGGGCTGTGTGTGGAACAGCTCCCCATCACTGTAAGTCCCTACCATTGGTTGGTCCTCCACATGATACCACCCACTCCAGCTCCATGGCCACACCTACAGAAGGGAATAATGGTGTCTTTTGAGAGGAAGGGAATCAAGACAGGCTTTCTCTGTGTAGCCCTGGCTATCCTGGAATTTGCTCTGTAGGCCAGGCTGGCCTCGAACTCAGATCTGCCCACCTCTGCCTCCTGAGTGCTCGGATTGAAGGCGCCCAGTTGAATGTGACTTCTTAACAGCCTCACACTTATCAGAGTGCCCACCTGCAGGTGGGAGGAACACGGAAGACTGGTCTTACCTGTGGAGCTTGAGAGACAAACCAGGATGAGCCCCTAAAAAGCAAACCTGGGGCCTCAGGGGATAAGAGCAAGAGCTCAGGCTTTCCCAGAGCTGGGCCCAAGACTTTCCTTACCCCATCTTCCTGTGGGACCTGGGACAGATGACAACCTCTCTAGGCCTCATTTCTCATCTCTATTCACACATCAACACAATACACAGAGGGCTACACTCAGGCTCTGGGGAGTAGACCGATGGAGCTCAGATTCCGGCTTCACCTCTTGCCAGCTTTACAGGTGACCGTATTCCTTTCTGTGAAGAAAATACTATCTGTGCCTCAGTTTCCTTGCCTATAATACACACACACACATGCACACATACATACACATACATGTACACACTCATGCACACACACACATATGCACACGCATAGCATATGCACACACACACACAGAGAACTGCGCTTGCTCACAGGGTTGTTATGGGATTTAGCCAGGAAATACATAAAGCACTTAGAATAGATTCCGATAGTGTCTAGCCTGGTGGAGCTTATAAATTCTGGCTACTCCAGAAGCTGGGCAGGAGGATGGAAACTTTGAGGTTTGTATGGGCTACAGAATGATTTTGATACCAGTGTGAGACCTTATCTCAAAATAAAAGGTGAAAAAATTTTTTTAAAGGCTTGGAATGTAGCTTTAGTGAAAAAACACTTGCCTAGTATGCAAGCTTACAAGAGGAAAAGTTCAATCCCCATTGGAAAAAATAATTTTATCATTACTGTATATATATATAAACAGGGTCTCAGGTATCCCAGACTGGGTCAAACCTTGCTATGTAGCCAATGGTAACTTTGAGCTCTTAATCCCCTTGCCTCCACTCACCAAGTGCTGGGACTACAGGCAAGAGCCGCCATACCCAGCACCATTGTCTATTTCTGTGCCTAAATACATTTCCCTAAATACTTCTGACATAACAGCAAGCAGGAACTTCTGCTCTGCCAGAAGATGAGTGTGGAGGTGCCAGTCAGGTGTCGAATGGAGTGAGAAGGGCCGTGTGGAGGCGGTGCTGGAACAGAGGCAGAAGGCCAGCTCAGGCATCCCTTCCTCCCACACTCTTCCCGGGGAAGCCAGAACAAGAGGTGGGACAGAGGCCTTGCCTGTGTTGGCCATGTAGACTCACTACCCCTTCTCCTCCCCAGGGCACCCACCTGAAAACCATCAACGGAGAGGCCCCCACGGTGAATCTCTCCTTCCAGCTTCTTTCCTCTGAGGTAAGGGAGAAAGGTGAGACGTGGCCCCCAGAACCATAACGTGAGTGACGTTGTCCTTCACAGGGGCTGACCCTCAGGGCTTGGGGTCAGGAAGAAGAAAGAACCTCTAGGTTTAGCTAGGGAGTTCTAAGGGGGTTTGAGGCCCCAGGAAACCAGGCAGAGTGCACCAATTAGGAAAAGCCACGAACAAAGGGCTGCACACTCTGCCCCAACCTAACCTAACCCGCACCAGCTTAACTGGGAGTCAAAGTTCCGTGGGGATGACAGGGGTTCTTTTAGGGGTGCAGGCAGGATCTAGTTCCTTGCAGTGTAAGACTGGTGGCCCTGATTCCTTGCTGGCTGCTAGCCAGGGTGCTCTCAGCTTCCGGAGACCGCCCACATGCCATCTTACCAGGGTCCCTGTACTGCGATGCCAGCAGGCACAGCCAGTCCCCAGCACACTTTGAAATTCTGACTTTCTCTTCTGTCAGCAGCCAGAGAAGACTCTGTGCTTTTAAAAAGAAAAAATGGGATCATCATCTTGTCTTAGGGGCCGCTGTGTCAGACAGCCCAACAGAATCATGAAAGCGATGGCTATTTGGCTATCTCAATATTAAGGTGTGGGGGCTTGGTGATCCATTTTGGGGTACTGCCGGCCACAGCAGAGTTGATCCACGTGGAAGGTTACTAGGGCAAGCCCTGCCTGGGGGGGAGGCCACGCCTCCTCTAGCCACTTAGTGGCTGACTCCGGCTCTGACACAGGCCATGGCTCTAGTGTACCCACTAGTGAAAGTCGCCCTCTGTAACCTCTCCATTTTCCCCTCTGGTACTAGGGTGTGGACAACCTGACCACGAACCCAGGAAATGTTCACGAGCTGATTAAGGGCTAATCTACTCTTGCTAGCGTCTCAGGACAGAAAAAAAATCCGACAGCTGTGGGGTAGTTCAGAGCCTTCTGTCCTTACCCATGAAGAATGTGGGAATTTCATGCTATGTGGCATGAGGAGGCTGGGAAGATGATGGCACAAAAGCCCCAGTGAGGTCACCATCATCCTCTCCAGATCCCTCTAATCCCCGCTCATGGCACCCACACCTGTACTCACCACTAAACCAAAGGCAAGAGTGAGAAAACCCACAGAGAAGTCGCCCAAAGCAAAAGACTCAGGACTGCTGAGATGGCTCAAGTCTGACAGCTTGAACTGGATTCCTAGAACTCATGTAAATGCGGAAGGAGAGAGCTGAGTACACAAAGTTGCGCTCTGACATTTATGTGTATGTACACACACACACTCATGCTCAAGCGTAATCAGTAATAATAACACGTGTGCGATGTATAATAACTAAAATTTTCAATTAAGAATGTTTCAATCCTAAGAAAGGAAAGGCGGGGAAAGGAAAAATACATCTTAGAGAATCCCAGGCCTTCTCAGGGTCTAGGATCTGTCAATAGCCACTGCCAGGCTCTCGCCATCTCCCTCTGCCTCCTGTCTTGCCCCAGGACGCATGCACTCTGCAGCCAGAGAAGAAAAAAGAGCTAGGTAGTCCTGGCTGGGAGGATGATGGGGACAGGCAGGCAACAGGCAGGTGGGTAGGACTTGTCCCCTGTTGCCCAGAGGCTGGGCACAAAGGTCTCCAGTGATGAATTATTCACTGGAACTGTGCTAAGTGCAGAATTAATCCCTTTCCTTCCAGCTGGCGGCCTCACTAAATTATCCCTCCAAGTCATGCGGGAAAACGCTGCCGAATTCATTTAGCTGCTGAGTGTTTTGATCTGGGCCTTGTGATTTTAGCTTTCCCTTTCCTTAGCCCCCTTCCCCTAGGGGTGGGGGAGAAACCTTTTAGTAATGGATTTCTAAGAAGAAAGGAAAAAAAAAAAAAGAGACTAAGATTAGGTGTGTACCAGAAAAAAAATAGTACTGGCAGAAATGCAGACCCAGCAGTCAAGAATTTGTTCACAGAAGTTCTACACATGTCTACATGTTCATGCAGCCACACATGAGTGTTCACACGGGGACAGTCACATATGCACAGATTTGCATGTGCACATGCCTCTTCAATGGTGCCTGCATTTAATGCATATGTACACACAGAGGTAAAATGACGGACATTTCACTCCTGTGTCCATACACAGTCTCTCTGTAGCTCAGCTGTTCCATGGAGATGCCAGCTGAGAGCTAACCAGTAAGTGACTCATTTGACTCTACAATGCTGAAGACCAAGTTAGGGGAGTGGCTGTGGCCGTGCTGGTGTGAGTGGACGCGTCATCAGGCCCTTGCTGCAACGACAGCCATCTCTGTGCTGTACAGACATAAGGAGTATATGACATCTGTCTTGCTATACAGATCTAAGGAGAATTTCCTACATGCCAGGCATTGGGCAGCTCAAAAATTGCACCACGTGACCTTGTGGATTGAAGTGGGGGCATGTCCTGGGGTTATAAAACCCGTGTTCCTCAAGGTATATTAATTCTCAACTAGTTTTGGACATAACCCTCACCCAGTATAGACACTAATTCTTTTGTCATCTTCCCACTAAGGGTCAAATGAAGAGTGTTGAGAATTGGTGAACAAGTCAGGTGGTACTTCAGGGAGATCTAAAGGGGTCCTCTCCCTGGATCCCCATCACCTTCACGATAAAGCATAGTTATCACACACCTGCTAACAGTATGCATCAACCCTTATGTACTGGGGTTAAGAGAGAGCACATTAAACAAGGCCAAGAAATCTTTCTCTTTATAGACATCAAAGGATGGAGACTAGAATGAATACATAGGTTCATGAGTAGATACTGGTTAGCAATATACAGCCTAATGATCCTTGAGATGATAAAATCCAGAGTCCCTGGAAAGGCTGTTTGACATCCCAATCTGAGTAAAGTCGGAGCTTAGCTACTGTGAGAGACCAGGATCCTTCCATCTTGATGTTCCACCTTGGAGGAGACTTGAGCTTTGTGGTCCATGCTATGCTCCACCATGTGCAGTCTATGGGCCAGTGATGGCAGACTCAGAACAAGGACCATCCAGTAATTCCTCCCAGTACAGCCTAAAAGCTCCAGGAGTCACCACCAGGGACAAGGTACCAGAGTCCTGTGTGCATTCCAGCTGCACAGAGCAGCTCGAGGTGGCAGGTGTCTTGAGACACCTGACCAGCACAACTGTCAAGTCTATCCTTGGGTAATTCCTTGCATGTGGCCAGGATGGGCGTAGAGAGGAAGGGCTCCAAGCCTGAGGGCTGAAGGTTCAGCACAGGTTGTTCTAGCTCCTTGGTCACTTGCCAAGCTCAGTCTGCCATACCCATGGTTTCTGGGCCAGCCACTCTCAGAGATCAGGGACATGAGTGTGGTAGGATGGCCAAAAGGAGGCAGCAGAGGTCTCTCTTAACAAATCTGGACAGGAACATCTTCAGCCACAACCACCACTGTGGGTGGTTATCCTGTCCTCTCCCTTCCTTTGCCATGACAGCAAGCTCACTCCCCTTAGCAACAGCCCCGCATGACACAGCAGCTGACTGAGAGACTCAGACTGAGAGCCCCTGCCTCTCCTGGGCCTCCCCTTGCACCATGCTCCCAGCTTGGCCCTCCGTGGCTGCAGCACACCCCAGCAAGCCTTCCGCATGGATGGCACCATCAGTCAGCAGGCATGCTGGCAGATTGATCAGCGACCACAGCCTGCCAGCTCAGTGATTGGCAAGCATTAGCTCTGGGTTGGAATATTATGCTTCAGAGGGGATTGTCAGTGGCGGGGGTGTGGGGTTGTGGTTACCCTGATGTATTGCTTCTCTGTGGGTGTTTGCTGCCTCTGGGGATCTGTCTGAAGCTGGAGTTGCATATGTAGGAGACCGCCTGAACAAAGCATGCAGGTGTGTGAAGTACAATGCATGCGCCCGATCCTCTCTTCCATGAAGTCAGTAAAGTGGACTTTGGAGGGTGTGAGCACAAAGAATTCATGAGCCCAGGGCCACTCCACAGAGAGGCAGGAATCAACCTTTGGCCTCCTGCTTTCCCGCTTTGATCTCAACTCTTTCTCTTTGAAGAGGCGGATGTGTTGTTCCTCGCCCCCACAAGAGGATTTGCTTCTCCAAGCAAGGCAGCCTGCCTTCTTTTAATAATTCCACCACATCCTGGGAGCCCTCCAGCTTGCAGGCAGCCTCTTTGAAGTGCAGCCCAAGATGAGTAGATCCCCTCACCTGACCCTGGCGTGCACACAGTAGGTGCTGAGTGGGCGCATTCTTGCCTCTGCCAGGAAAAGCACCTCCTTTTAAGTGAGACCGGAAGGGGCCACATGAGCACTTTGGTCTTAGGGAGAGTTCCCTCTCTCAGGGTTAGGATTCAAGATTCAGTGGCTGACCAGGGTTGAGGGACACCAGGCAGACAGAGATCAGGCTTCTTATGGATGGCCACCCTTCCTTAGCCTGCAACATTTAAGGACACGGGGAAGACTTGGAGCCCCTCGGATGCGGGGAATCTCTTACAAGGAGGTGCATTTGAGGCCCTGCTCTTAGAGATAGATGGCAGACACAGTCCCTTTGACCCGCCACTCCCTTTCTCTCTCCCTGGAAAGTGTGGTAGAGCAACACTTGAGACCATGAAAAGGGACCACCCTGGAGCCTTCATTACAAAGTCCTCTCTGGCTACCAGCCAAGGGCAAAGTCAGCCAGGTGCCTAGAAAGACAGGGTAGAGGACAAATACAATCAGACAGGTTTTGGATGAATTCTTCGAAAACACCATGTGATTGCTTTAAGTTGGTCCTTAGAGAAATCTTGACCCAAACCTGCCTCCATTTCCCCCAACAAACTCATTTGCCTGGACAGCCAATATCCAGAGCGACATGCTCTCTCTGTTAGCCTGTCCTTGGGAAGATCCTATTCCCACCCTCAAAGAGTCCAGCTCCGAAAACAACATCATAGCAGGAGGATGGGCCCAGAAGAGAGACACTTCCCCTTCCAACATTTCATAATATCCCTGGCTGCCTTCCCTGAGGTCCCCTATGCTCTCTGTCCTCACTCCTTCAGGCCAGATGGCA